ACACAAAAACATCCACACACAGGATTGGCTTCGCAGTTAATAGGAATGATACAAATCAGTGGAATTATTTGTTCAATGCAATATCAGATGTGCTCCAATGTTAAGAGCAGACTACAACTCATTTGTTTAGACTTTTCAATAGATAAAGATTTAGGCAGGGCTGGACTGGGACAAAAAAACGGCCCGGGCATTTTTTCCTTCTTAGCGGCCCAGGCAACTCAAAAGGTTCAAGGAGCCATATTTGACAAAAAAAACTAAAGACAACATCTGTCTGGAGCCGCAAAAAATACAAAACAGCGTTGTATAAGGCTTATATGAAGGTAACAGGGGCTGAAGCTGTATTAGCTACATTAGCTATATTAGCTATATTAGACTAATATCTAAATGACAAAGTAAAGGCTACAAACACATAAAAACCATTCATGATTATCAAATGTATATTTTCATTGCAGCGTGTCCTGGACCGAATGACGCACCACGTGACAACTCTGCTTTAACTTTAACCTTCATGCAATTGTACAAATACAGTAAATAAATCTGCTTTTTGGCCCCGAGTTCACCTGCATCACTGTCTGTTCATATCGATCACATCACAGGCTGAAGTTTGCTGGAGCTGAATGTCCTTAATGGCCTTTTCTTTCACTGTCTTTGTGAAGGTATTTGAAGTCTGAAAATAGGTGCTCTGACTTTATGATGAATGAATCTTTCAGTGAACAGTGTTTAAAGCTTCATTGTTCCTTCTGTTGCAACAAAACTTTTCATTACATCTCAAACATGAAGCAGTCCTTCCTCATTGACTGAAAGCAAAAGTTCATTCTCATTCTTAGTCCAGTCTTATCATCGACTCTCTCTCTTTATCTTTGGGATCCATGCGCACACACAGTTAAAATTGAATATTACTTATACAAGTTTTTGCAGCATTAAAACGTGAAGAATGTTTTTCCTCCTGCAGAAACCACATTCAAACTATAAATAAAATATAGCCCTCACACTCCATTTTCAGACATTTTTTAAAAGGCTCCAGGAGCCACTGGAGGAGCACTAAAGGTTGCCGACCCCTGGTTTATACAGTATGTGGAAGCAAATACTGTAGAGGATCAGGATGTCTGCAGTTTCAACAATAAAATAAAGTACAATAGTCTACATTAAACAGAGTAATAAACATGTCTCAGAGTGAGGGAGGTGGGCACAGACAACACTATTGTTTGTTACAGGGATGAGAATTGGTAAACATTTCTGAAATGCATATTGTCAGCCATTGGCTGGCTCTAAATCTGTTTAATCTGTTCACAACATTTTACTTTTGGGCTCAAACATGAACTTTTAATGCAATGGAAAATTTAGGTACCCGAGCTTTAATTTAGAGGAGAGGGGAGACGCGGACTGTTTTCTGCAGCGGTGTATTTATTGGGTGCACAAATTACGCAAAGACACGCATGGTCCTGTGCGCGTTTATGGTCTTGGGTACATGGTCACGTTGCGGCTACGCGCTCACCGTGTTGTGTTGTGAGCGGTTCCTGCGTCCAGCTCAGAGCCGCTGGATGCGGGAACACTGCGGCCGCTGAGGTGGCGGAATCCCGTTCGAGTACATACAGCAGGAGCCCCGCGGACACGCGCGCCCCCTAGAACATTTCTCAACGGATTTACACTTTTCACAAACATGTTTTTTGTATGAGGCAGACAGACCGGCCCAAATATGGGCATCGGCCCTTCGGGCATTGCCCGGTACGCCCGATGGCCAGTCCAGCCCTGGATTTAGGGTAATGTCTCATCTGCTAACCGCCTTGTGAGTTACCAGTATTTGTATACATTAATCTGACAGTCCATAGAAACTCAATGGAACATAACTGTGGTCCTCCATGGTTCTTTTCTATAACTGGTCTTACATGGTTCCTTCTTCAAACTTGTGAAGGCACAGTGAAAGCAACAATATCAGTCGCTCATGTGAAACGAAAACGCAATTCTCGCATTCTTTTTGTCCCTTATCCACCACTGTTTTTCAAGATGGCCCATTTACACCGAGAGCACTCCTTTCTCATGGACACTTATAAGTTCAATTCTAAGCCTATGAATATTATTAGTGACACAAAAACATCCACACACAGGATTGGCTTGGCAGTTAATAGGAATGATACAAATCAGTGAAACAATTTTCAACTAGCAGATGGATTGCTGTTTGCGGTTCTAGCTGTAGATTTGAATACACGTATAATTCTTGACATTCTAATTATGATCACCATGTGCAAGACATGATCAGGGATGTATAATCCAAAAAGAAATTCTTAAAATCATTTGCAAACAAGATATTAGATAATATATCTTTTGTGAATGATTTCGACTCTCAAATATCTTTCTATAAAGCAATAAATTATGTGTTTTGGGCAAAAGAAAACAATCTGATCTCAGGCCACACACAACAGGAGATTGCTGTGTGGAATTCCAACTCTTCTTTGTCCAAGGCAAAACAAGAGCAGTGTAGGAAAAATGTTCTGTGACAAGTCGTTGCACACAGTAACAGAGATAGAGTGCCTGTACAAAGTTATTATGGAAAATCTTCTACACTTCCAACACATTACTCTATAACTGTGATACGGTAGCAGACGAAGTCATTATGTGAGTGAGCATGTAGCTTCATGCAAAATGCCTCCCCAAGCAGTGCTGCCTACAAGCGTCACCTGTGGAATTGTATGAAGTAATAAACTAGCACGCCCCATTTTGAATATAATACTTGGTGTGGTAGTTTAGAAAATGGATCAGCCAGGATTAGGTTTTAAAAACAGAACAAATAGACCTTTCATTACTTTCCTGCTTCTAAAATTATCTCTTAACTTTTACCAAATTTCTGTATGTATGTATAAATATATGTGTGTTTATGTATATGTTGTTTATGTTGTTAGCATTCTACAACATGCATGGACATTTTCTTCTGTGTGTGCTTTATATTCTTCATGTGTTTTAACTGTTGATTCTCTGATCTGTGTTGGTGATCTCAATGGTTTTGTTAAGTCCTCTGAGATGACTTCTGTTGTGACCTAGGGCTATACAAGAATACATTGTATTGTATTGTATGTATAATTATTTATTCATTTTTCTCCCTCTTCCTTTGAATTAGCATTATTATTGTACTTTACCTTTTGGTTTCTGTTCCTAGTTTTTATTTTTGTGGATTTGAATTTTGTGATTGGTTGCCGTTTATTTTTGGTAAATGCTAAATTTGGGAATATTAAGATGATGACAACGAGGACTATATTAAAAGAACAGTTAATTCTAATAAGTAACATTAGTTGTGAGAATGCTGGTGTGAATGAGTGAATGTATTGAAATGGATAGAAAACAAATGGTGGAACAAAAATAAAGCAATCGCATTTCAATAAACAGTCAATCTTGGTTTGTTTAAAAAAATTGAAAGAAGAAACATCAACATTTAATTCAAGTGACCCCAATCACACGGCTGAGCTCCTCGCTTATGCCAGGGACAGACATAAATACCTCTTTTCACTATCCTTTCACAAGGTTTGGCTTAAAAGGAATACATGTAGGCCTGCCTCTTGGGTTGCATATGTAATCGAATCAGAAAAAATAAATCAATTCGAGTTGGGTCAATTACTATTGAGAAAAATCAGCTACGCAACTTCTTCCTATCCAACTGATACCATGACACGTTATATTGTATTATGAAACCTAGTTATTATTAACGTATATGTGGAGAGTGCGTAATTATAAAAAAATAAATCATCTTTGCATTGACTCTAATTTTATGCCTGAACAATTGTAACTAGGGCTGGGCGATATGGCAAAAAAGAAAAATCTCGATTTTATTTCCTGCTTTGGACGATTTTGAATTTAAACTGTTTTTTATGAAAGTCACCGAAGACAGACTTTGCCCATAAAAATATGTTTTGATCTTTCCGCTCAATATTCTAACTTCAAAACCTTTTTTTAATTGTTCACCCCAATACATATAAAAGTCTTGTCAGTGCTGATATTGCAAAAACAAATAATTGCCTAAATTCCATTTATTGCCCAGCCCTAAATGTAACTGTATATGAATAAGAAAACAAATGTCTATAATCAATAGACCGCTTAATTGCATACAATAAATTCAATGATGACATCTCCTTAACTATGACCATACTTCCTTAGTTTTGGACCTTTAATCCTTTTTCTCCCACAATCAAAGGCACTAGATCTAGGGCTTTCACTAACAATTATTAGTCAGTGATATAGTTTACTATTTCACATTCATATTCTTTAAAAAAAATAAAAGATTGAGCTATGGTCACGGAAACAATGAAGATAGATCAGAAGATGAAGATAGACTCTCTTTTGTAATCAAGGTGGAAAATATAGTGTAAATGCAATATCAATAGTGCAATGTTATTTTCACAATATGAATAGCTGAATGGCTCTGAATATTGTCAGTAACAGACAGTGGTGGTACATAATTCCTGTGTATTGACTTTCTCATTATAGAGCAATTTTACTTCACATCTTCCTCTATATTACACTATTTTGTGCTGTTATATAGACCTAAATGAATAAAAATCCCAATTTTGGCATAATATAGAGCCATCTGTTTTAGATTATAGATGGTTGAACGGTGCTGTCAATAATCATCCTTATAATATAAATAGAGATGTTTGTCATAAGCCTACACAACTACAGTTATATAGCCTGCTGTGTGTATGAGAGGTTACTGTGTACAACAATTGTTTTCCAAAGCATGATTATAATAACACAAAACTCTCCCCACTCACCCACCCACTTCTTCTAAAATACAATTCAACCCTGTCTCCGTCATATCCAGTCTTGTAATAGGCTTTGAATCTGTGTTCAGACTAAAGCCAAGACCAGTAAAGAGAAACTGGAAAGGTTTGGAGTAAATTGATAAACATATTTGTGTATAAAAGCGCAAAGGTGAAGTAGGGGACAGAGCCTCCGTCCGCAGCCGCCAGGGCGCACTGAACCATGCGGTAATTCATGACAGAAGTTGCAGTCACTCACGTGCCCAGGACTTCTTTCAAATCAAATATCTTCTTTATGTCGTTGACTTGCTTCTTCCACGCCTCCCCTCTGCCGATATCTCCGTTCTCCCGGGCCATGGCGCGAAGGGCACGGTGAAGGGATGCCGGGGACAGAAAGCCAGGCAGCGGCGGACTGGAGTGGTGTGTGTCAGTGAATGAGTGTCGGAGGAGCGAGTGGAAGAGAGCGGCTGCGTGATAAGCACCTCCCGGTGTGAAGCTGCCATCTCCAGCCTCTCTCTGCGGTAGCGCGCCCCCTATCCGTTCTGCTACGTCAATGCAGCCGACTGCACATAAACATACCATAACCATGGATCTATTATAATAACATAATGTGACAATCTGAGGAATCGTTTATAAAACTTAAAGATAAGATTTTTTTTCTTGTACCTATCTTGGATCAACTTTTTCAGACAGAAAAGTAAAAATGAGAGGACGCTCACAGTCAGTCATCTCTCCTGTTGTACTTTTTTATCTATTTATCAGGGTTTGCCCTTTGAGATGAATGATCTCTTTTTCGAGGCATGCGGTCTTATTTGTTCAGAAACTTTTATCTTTACAAGTTCTTTTTGTTGGGACATAATATGTAGTTTTTAAAGAAATTATAAGAAATGTTTTTTTGGTTTCTTTTTTTTACTATACGAACAACACTACCCAACTCTTCTAAAATCAATTGACAGAAATAAATAAAACAATATTTAATAAAAAAACAAGGAAAGATTTGTGGGTAGCTATGTTGTTGTATAAAAAGTGTCCTGGAGACCATTTGGCAATTCTGCCAACGTTGGCCTTTGAATAATTGATTTAGTTGGTCTTACTATAAAAAATAGTCATATAAACTTTGTGAAGTAGAAGTCAGCAGTAGGTCAACATGTGTGTTGTGTGTTGTATGATGTGTTGTATGATGCATGCAAACACGTTGTTTATTTTTCTTTCAATCTTTTCCTGTCTTGCCTATAAGCAATCACAAGAAATGGCCCATCATTGGACATCTCTCTTTGATCTCGAAGAGAGGTGTTAGCAGCCATCTCCATATGCCAACAGCAGTAGGACTGGGAGCGGCGTGTCCAGGTTTAAAGGCCACATAACCCCTGGATTACATCAGAACAGCTGCGCAGAGAGGCCAGACCAGGGCAATGCAGAGCAGGCTCCTCTCTCAAACATGCTGCTTAATGTGAACTGGGAAATTATTGTTAACAACCCTAACCCTATATCATTGATGAGTTTGATCCCATCATGTCTCAGACGTTAAGCAGAACAGGGCTAAAACATGGCCTCTTTCCAGGGTTAGTGTTGTGATGGGAGACCTCTTGCAACACTAGTTGCCACAGTGGGATGGGTATGACTGTAAAGATGTTCTGTCCTCTAGGCAAGTCCCTTAACCCTGATTTCCTAGAATTAGTCTGATGTGTGGTGGTGGTCAGCGGGCCCAATAGCACAGATTAATGGTCTAATTTCGGTCAGACTGCCCCAGGTCAGCTATAGCTACGGAGTGAATGAATATTGCCAGGTGAATTTTGGAGGTCTTATAAAGCGCTTTATAAAAACTATGGACTATGAGTGGAAGTCATTTGTCAAAATATTGAGGGGGATTCAAGCGTAACATGTAAGAAAGAAGGTCCTGGGTTAAAATCCCGGTCGGAGCAGGGCCTTTCTGAGTGGAGTTTGCAAGTTTTCCCTGTGTCTGCTTAGGTTTCCTCCGGGTGCTCCGGTTTCCCCTACCACTAAAAACATGTTCACTAGGTAATAATCCTCCAGCTCCGGTAGCCCTGACCAAGCCGAGCATCAACATCTGGAGATGGGCTCCCGGGCACTGTACTATGGCGACCACTGCTCCTGATGTAAGCCTTAGTGGCATCAGGATGGGTCAAATGCACAGGACAAATTTCCCTACAGGGAAAATAAAACGCACATTTACATTTTTACAAGTTGATTGATTGATTTACTATCTATCTATCGCCGTAAACAATTTCCTCCTGAAAGGTGGTCACAGGAAGTCCCGATCACACACTCATCATTCATCCATGAAATTAATTAGCAACATACACTATGATGACAATTTTCCAACAACACATTAGAGAATCAAACTGTTCCAAACGAAAAGAAGAACATCTCGGATCGACACTTTCCTTAGACCCTCCTGCATTGGAAAGGTTATCTCCCATGCTTTAGCTATAGAGACAATCTCTTGCTCTACGGATACATCCTTTTACTTGTCAATAAATCAAGAACTTATTTTAGGATATTTAAACTCACCAAATATCAGTAATATGAGCTAGGGATAACGAGAAAGCTGTGTTACCTTTTCCATTAGAACAGTATACTGTACCTACAATCTTTTAGACTGATCAACAGCTGTGCCCCTAATCTCTACAGAGCTCATTGCCACAGTTTAGCAGAGCCTTCTCTTTTTCCTATCGACTCCACTAGTCCCAGACACAGTGGTAAAGGCAAGATAGTGGGGGTGCAGTCTGAAAAACTCATGAGTATTCTGTCTGCAAGCCACTGCAGGGAAACTCCAGTCTCTCTCTCTCCCATCCTCCTCCTCTTGTGTGCCTGAGTCAGCACATTTGACCCACTGCTTATAAAGATGATTAAAAAGAGAGAGAGGGGGGGGGGTGTTTGTGTGAGTGAGTGTGTGTACGTGTGATGAAGGTCAATGTAGCAGTTAGTCTTTGGACTTGTTCAAAGGCAAGTGACAGGTGGAGGAGGTGGTGCTCACTGGCACATTATTAATTGCTGACCTCGGAAATGCGTACTAGAATTATTAGTATTTGCTAAGGTTATGTTGTTCTTATGAGGTCTACAAACACACCTAATATTTTGTTTCAGAAGTGGACAACAACATGGGGACAGCATTTCAAAACAATATGATATTAATGATCAGGTGCAGACATCTGAAAATACTGTTACTGTAGCAGCTGGTCTGATGGAGTAGTCAATGTACTTATAACATCTATTGAACCCTTTTCGGAACACGGATTTTACTACCCATCAAGGAAATATGAAAATTGTGTAATGCAATACTTTTGAATATTTTATAACATCAAACTTACATTAGCTTTTTATGACCCAGGTCACATCAAGAAGCAAGATGATGATGACTCAAAGTTAATTTTGTAAAACTCATAATGGCATTTCATGTTTTCAGCCGTGATTTGTTTTTGTTTCCTCTTTCAGAAAGACTAAAAAAATAAATAAATCAAGTAATAAAGAGCGATGCAATTTCGCTCCTAGCCTTATGAGAGGTGTTACGCAAAGGCACAATCAATTTCTAATGTGCTAGTTTACAGCCCTCATCAGAAAGGCAGCAGTCAATATGGGTACAGCAAGTTTAATGACCAGTCTACAGTGTTGTAAAAGGGGAAAAAAGAAACAAAATGAGAAATGAGTATGTCAGAACCACTCGGGAGAAAATTGGTAGTGCAAGATGAAGTAGCATTGATGGCTTCAAGAAAAATGTGGCAGAGTAAAGTAGTTCTATATAAAATACACTGAAGAAATATAGTAAGGATTTACAGTTTCGATTTTAAGCATAACAAAAAAATCGTCATGGACATCAACAAACTCATAGAAAAGTCAAAATGCCACACAATAAGCAATTGTCTTGTCTTTACATGATGGAAATACTACAATGGGGCGATAGATAAATGGTAAATACACAGGGTGGGTTTTTTATGGGACATATGGTAAAGATAATGGGATAGTGAATTCTCGAGTCACTGTGGAGCAGCCTCGTCTTCTTCGTTCTCAGATTCTTCCTGTTGACTCTTTGTCTGCAGAGAAAATATAAAATAGTGTTAGCAACAAGTTACTTCACATTATGCAGTACTTATTACTGTTATTTCAAAGTAAGATTAATATTACTGTCTCTCATTTGTAATGCACTACACTACCCTATATGCATTACTTTTAAGTTACTTTTGGTTTGGCACATAATAGCACTTAAAGGAACAATATGTAAAAATCTGGCCAAAAGTGGTACTGCAGTCACAGTCAATATTTTGTAGTCCTCTCCCACTCTCCCTGACTCAGGTTGCCAGATTCACACCAAATCCAGCAGCAAACACAGGGAATTATTTTATCAGTTGTTTGTCCGTCTCCATTCACATTGCCATGACAGCCGTGCTAATGCTGAATGAATGTTTTGATTCATGTTTTTTTATTATTATTATTTGGACATCCATCCATTTTCTTCCCCTTAATCCATTTCTGGGTCGGGGGGGTGGCAGTCAGAGCTGCACCCAGTACACAGAGCACCAGCCCCTCACTGATCCTCCTGCAGGTGGTGAGTCCACAGGAGCTGAGATCTTTCAATGGGAGCTTCAGGCAAAGTGGGGTTAAGTGTCTTGCCCAAGGACACAACGACAGCAGTCATCAGTGGGAGTCGTGAAGTAGGTCTTATGGTGGGCTCGAACCCACGACCTTCAGGCCCAAAGGCTAATGCTCTACCAACTGAGCTACTGTCGCCCCTGTAGCTCATTATTAGCTTATTTGGACATTTGAGATAAAAAACAAAAACAAAATAAAAGCAATGTAATTATACATAGTTTATGCAAAATAAATAAGCAATTGATGTCCAAAATAGGAGTGGGGAGAATGGATGTTGGAACGTATTTCTTCAGCGTATCAACATCAGGGTTTGCTCAAGAGGATATCACCTTTCAATTTTATTTATTCCCTATTTTTTAGACAAACATGTAAAAGTCCCACATCAAAAAGAGACTAACATTATTTTAATTGGGGTACATGTGGTCTTAAATGATTATTTTTACAATTAAGCTATAATCTGCAAAAAAACGTCTTGACCTTCGTCTTTTACCGTTTTTAGAGCAATCTGTCATAGAATGTGATAACATGCAATAAATACAAAAAGACATAGCCCGGAATCGAACTCGGGTTCCTGCATCGTAAGCGCACAGTTTTGACCACTATACCACCGATTCACAGTTAGAGTCACTGTGAAGAACGGACTCAAAGCAGCAAATTTTGCATCACACGTGAACTTTTATCAGCTGTCTCAATTGTTCAAAGCCATCCCGATATAAATCCTCGTTTTAGTCTCTGTTATGTCATTAATGATTTGAGAGTCATAACAAGACCTTTTTTAGTTCTGCGCCACATGTTATTTTACCTCTGAGATTAGTGAGCCGTGCGGAGTTCTGGCAACTCGATCACGGACTTACATGACACTTCCTGATTGGCGAAACGGCGGAGGGTAGGACATCAAAATCAAAACAATAACAACTTTTACGGGACGTAAAACTAATTTTGATATTCAAATATCTCGGATGAACTACTGTTATCAGTTAAAGATGTGTTTGAAAAGAACATGATTTATTAATGCCTTTTGAAATATTCGGGTCATTTAATGATGACTTGACATGCAAATATTACATATTGCTCCTTTAACTGTTGTGTTCCACATCATTGTTTACAACAAACCCAGTCCTGGCTCAAAACTTGTTCATAGCCAAAATTTGTAGAGGCCACAGCATCAAAAACACTCAATTTCACTAAGTCACAAAGGACGTGTAACAACGGAAGAGGATAATAATTGTAGACAGCACTACTTTTAGACTTACTTTAATTGTTTTAACTATTTCCATGATAGCAAACAAATGTATGCGTTTTACTATTTTTTTTACCAGTTTGAGAAAGTCGATGAGTTTATATGCGTCTTCTCCAGTTGAGAGGTCCACAAAGTCCCGTGGGATCCTGTAGCTCAGACAGGGACTGGGCTGGACCGTCACGTCACTGGTGGTGTAACGGAAAGCAGGGCCCTCCTGTAAAATACGTTTTGGCCAACATTTATTCTGTGTCTAAAATAGCGCCATAAAAGTGTGTCTGGTCAGGAATAACTGAACGTTTCATTAAGTCACACACCTGCTGCTGTGTGATTTCTCCTGAGGACAGTTCGTCCCAAGTGAAAAGGAGTGAGTCAGTCACTTCACCAAAAGGGTTAAAGTCAATCAGCCACACTCGACCCTGTAAAAGTTAAATTTAGATGCAAACTTTGTCAAATTAGGTATTTAGAGTTACATCAATTGAATAGATAGTGGTAAATAGTGAACAATTGTCAATTAAGTGTGTTCCCTTACTCACAATACACATCATCAAAAATGTTATTCAACTTACCTGGCTGTCTCTGTAGGTATCAAAAACAACTGTAATACAGCACAACAAAATATCAATACCATGTAGATGGTACCGTTTCAGTAATGTGTGAAAAAAACAATTTCTAGCTTGCTCAATATTTAATATTCTACACAGATGGAATTACAATGTAGTTACTCACAGTCTTCATCTAAAAAGTTGTATTGAATGTAGTTGTTGAAGAAGTCTTGAATGGCATGAGTGATGAGGTCCTCCTGCTTTAGGACATGGTGGTAAAATTGAGTGTAGTCTCTTTGGGAAATGGCTGCAGAAAGTAATAAAAAACATACTTTAGCAGACTTTATCACACTAAAACCCCTCTGTTTTGATAATTACCGCTTGAAAGTTATTTAAACTGTAGCACATTTCCATTTCTACTTATTTCATTTGTGTGTTTAAGTACAAAATCTTATTTACCCCAAAATTGGTAAATTGGATTGAAAAATTGAGTGCAATAGTTTTATTTTGTGGGTTGATGACAAAACCAAAGGCCTTCTGCATGATGGAAGATTTTGTGCTGGAGCGGGCTTCCAATTTTGCTCATATGCTGATGCTTTTTCTTTTGACAGCTTGCAAGATAAAGCCCTAGACAAGTATCCTCTATGTTCAACATTAAATCAATATTTATCTTTTACATTTTTAATGCTTACCAATGAGTTTATTCTCTTTGACAAAGCAGCGAAACTCTCCCCCAGGAATCAGCTCGCTCCACTTCCTGAGAACCAGCTGAAGTCGCAACACAATAAAACAGATCAGTAATGACAGACCCAAAGCATCAATCATCTGCCTCAGTCTTAAAACTGCAAGCACCTCATAGCTGATGGCAGGATCTGGAGTGTCCAGGTCACTGCACTGTATAAACCTGTACAAAAACAACCACGCATGGAATGTAAATAAAAAACATTCCCCAAAATGTCCAATCATAGCTACAAAATAAATGTTCTGCACATTCTGCCGGAACTACGGGTATACAAAAATTAGATTTCAAACTACCGTCAAATTCTAATTTAGCTAATATAGAAGACAAAGTAGGAAAAACATAATGTGTCATAGATTGCATAAATTGTCATAGTATTGGAATTTGAATTACATTTGAACGTGATGTGATTCATTCAAACCCTTTGTTTTCCCAAAGAGATGAATGAACACCAGCTGTGACTAGAATTATTTATTATTTTTTTTGCATTTCGCCTTTTAGTTTGCGTTTTTTAAATATTTCTGCTGTTGTGATATTATGTGACAAATGTTAAACCTGAGGAAACTTTCCATCTCATCAGCGTTTGCAGAGGGCGGGCGGTGAAGTGCTCTAAATCAGAGGGTCACATGATGGTATGCTAAGCACAGAAGTCTGGAGCATAAATCCACATTGCAGCGTTGTCTGCGATATCCTTGTTATTGTTTAGGGCACAGTCCAATCAGCGTGTCCTGCCAAAAGCTTGTTATTTTTGATATGGCTGTCGCCAGAAAGTTGAATTGATGTGTGTGTGTAAGCACTTTGAGTTACCTTGTGCATAAACTGTGATATACAAGTAAACTTGCAGAACTATGCTTACGGTTGAGTGAGGTCACGAGTGATGAAGTCTGAACTTTTAAACAGGAGAAATATATCACTGAGGCTGCTGCACTGAAGTGAGCTGTTCAATGCAATCCAATTTGCGTCCTGAAAGAGACAAAGTGTTCAGTTCAATCTCTGTAGATATTTGTGTATACTCAGGTTACGTATACTATATTTTGCAAATCATGTTTGTACCTGTGGTGAGCTCCAGTTAAGCTTAGGAAACACACTTCCACCTAAAGCATTTATTGACTCCAACACTTTAGAGGTGAATTCAGGGAACTCTGGAGCCTGTAATACACAATTTTTAAAAAATTCTTATCGTCCAACTTGAAAGTTGTTGACTCGCCAACAAAGACAGAGAATCAAATGGTTTGAACACAGGAAATGCAATAATAAAAAACCAAACAGAAGCTGGTCCATTGGGGGCAAATGACCAATGTCCATTAGTTCATCAACAAGCAAACCTGCGGAGTGAGAAGGACCAGTAAAATTCACACCCTGTTGATGAATGGTATAGGAGGATCTAGGAGTGACGTCGTTGTTTATACACTACTACAATACGCGAAAGTATTCGGCCCCCTTGAACCTTTCAACATTTCGCCACCTTTCAGGCTTCAAACATAAAGATATAAAATTTAATTTTTTTGTCATGAATCAACAACAAGTGGGACACAATCGTGAAGTGGAACAAAATGTATTGGATAATTTAAACTTTTTTAACACATAAAAAACTGAAAAGTGGGGCGTGCAAAATTATTCGGCCCCTTTACTTTCAGTGCAGCAAACTCACTCCAGAAGTTCAGTGAGGATCTTTGAATGATCCAATGTTGTCCTAAATGACTGATGATGATAAATAGAATGCACCTGTGTGTAATCAAGTCTCCGTATAAATGCACCTGCTCTTTGATAGTCTCAGGGTTCTGTTTAAAGCACAGAGAGAACCATGAAGACAAAGGAACACACCAGGCAGGTCCGAGATACTGTTGTGGAGAAGTTTAAAGCCGGATTTGGATACAAAAAGATTTCCCAAGCTTTAAACATCTCAAGGAGCACTGTGCAAGCAATTATATTGAAATGGAAGGAGTATCAGACCACTGCAAATCTACCAAGACCCTGTCGTCTGTGATGGCAATCTGCCTGTGACTCGGGGACGCCAACTCACTCCCCCCTGCTGCTCTATCCAGCTAACCTGCAGGAAGGAGCCAGTCCTTCCCGCACCGCCAGACAATGATGCAAATCACTGTCTCACCCCTGTCCCTTTCGCATCTTGCATCTGTATGCCTGCCTCTCTACATCCTGCATGACCATTGTCTGTCTGTTTGCACCTCCATGCCACTGTCTGATTGCCTCACCACGGGCATGGCGCCTACGCTCCCTATGCGCCTCCTGTACTGGTGGCCCCCTCCCATCTGTTGTGGGCGTGACTGTCTTTATGTGTTGTCTATGTAAACAGGAACCTGAGCTCTGCGCGCCAGAGCTGGTGTATGCTGCCTTTTGTATATGTTAGCTCTCCGCACGTGTGTACAATAAACTTACGCTCCTGAATTAAGACAAATACTTTTGAGCTTTCTCCTTCATTGGGGTATGTAATTCTACAACACGTCCCTCCAAACTTCCATCTCAAACAAGGAGAAGACTGATCAGAGATGCAGCCAAGAGGCCCATGATCACTCTGGATGAACTGCAGATAACTACAGCTGAGGTGGGAGAGTCTGTCCATAGGACAACAATCAGTCGTGCACTGCACAAATCTGGCCTTTATGGAAGAGTGGCCATTTCTCAAAGATATCCATAAAAGATCTCGTTTGACACACCAAACATGTGGAAGAAGGTGCTCTAGTCAGAGCCACCCTGAACACACCATCCCCACTGTCAAACATGGTGGTGGCAGCATCATGGTTTGGGCATGCTTTTCTTCAGCAGGGACAGGGAAGATGGCTAAAATTGATGGGAAGATGGATGGAGCCAAATACAGGACCATTCTGGAAGAAAACCTGTTGGAGTCTGCAAAAGACCTGAGGCTGGGACGGAGATTTATCTTCCAACAGGACAATGATCCAAAACATAAACCCAAATCTACAATGGAATGGTTCACAAATAGACGTATCCAGGTGTTAGAATGGCCAAGTCAAAGTCCAGACCTGAATCCAATCGAGAATCTGTGGAAAGAGCTGAAGACTGCTGTTCAAACGCTCTCCATCCAACCTCACTGAGCTCGAACTGTTTTGCAAGGAAGAATGGGAAAGAATTCCAGTCTCTCAATGTGCAAAACTGATAGAGACATACCCCAAGCGACTTGCAGCTGTAATTGCAGCAAAAGGTGGCGCTACAAAGTATTAGCGCAAGGGGGCCGAATAATATTGCACGCCCCACTTTTCAGTTTTTTGTTAAAAAAGTTTAAATTATCCAATACATTTTGTTCCACTTCACGATTGTGTCCCACTTGTTGTTGATTCTTGACAAAAAATTAAATTTTTATATCTTTATGTTTGAAGCCTGAAATGTGGCGAAATGTTGAAAGGTTTAAGGGGGTCGAATACTTTCACAAGGCACTGTATATCGCCCACCCCTAGCTAGAGAGTTAGCTAGTTTTAGACGTTTGGAGAGAGGTTTTTACTAAATTAAATGGTTCGTTCTTGTTGTGTGGTCGGTTGTACGGCCCATTGGGGACAGATTATGTTTTTTTTCTAATTCTTTCGAAAAAGAAGAGCAAAAAATGGCCGCGGTAGAGTGGTTGCCCTTTTATGCTGTTACCTACAGTAAATGTAGAACGGGAAGCCGGGGGGATTTTGGTTGCTCATCCCCGCGGCTTCCCGTTCCACCTTTACCGAAAGTAACAGCAAAAACACCACGGATCCTTCTTGAGTGAAGGGTTCCGGATTTTTTATGAAGTAAGAATAAATGTTTCCCCGTCCCAGTCCCAGCAGATCGGTGCCAAGACAGAGGTGAGTCCGACCAATGTTTTCTCTTGTCATCCCAGGTCTCATATGGGCTTTAAATTTGTTCAGTTCGGTCTCATATACTTATTTTTAGCTTGTCTTTATATCTCCTCTGATCTTCTTGCGTTAAAGTGCTTATATACAGAGCTATTCGCCCACTGAGTCTTTTAAAAGTACTCTCGTATCCATGCTTCAGTTCTGTGTGGCAGAAAGTACGCTCTGTCTTTCTGCCACACAGCGAGGGTGTAAACAAAGATCCTCCTATTCTGGTGATTGTCAGGCATTTTGCATATTTCATGCTTTCACCAGGATAGGTTTTGTTGAAACTTGTGGACATAGTGTTTGGCCTAATGCTCAAAACCGGGTCAGAATATCCTGAACAACCATCTTGGCCATGTTCTAAATTCAGTGAAGAAAGTAACGTATTGTGAATGTCTGTGTCATGCTGTTATGTACAAACTGTTACTTGTTGTAACTCTGCCTGTTTAGTGTGTGTGGGGGTGGTGTATTTGGTTCACAGGGAGGGGGTGTGTTTGGGTGCCGGTTTGTGCAATTATTGTCAGACATTAAACCAGTCAGTGGCACAAAAAAAGTTGTAGATTGCAATGTAACTCCTCACGTTTTCATATCAGTCATTTTATAATACAAAATGTATTACGTTTTTATACCAGTAAATAGTAATATGTTATATAAAACAATTTTATAGTAACCTGCCCAGCACTGATTGATTTGATTTGATTAGATTTGTCTCTCTTTGGAAAAATTTGGCTCTGACCGATATATATGGATATGCTCAATTTTTTAGAAAGTGAAATGCATAAAAAAACCGTAAACAAATAAAAGACAGCCCTTTGGTCAGACAAAAAAATGAAATTAATTACATTTATTGTGGTTAATTGTATAGCATCTTTCAGTGTTTTTGGTGGCATTATTTATGGTGAATAAAGTCAATCTAATGAAGACTATAATGGTTGCATTCATTACTTACAGTAACCGTAGTTGTAGTTTCATCATCTGACCACTGGAGGGAAACAAAGATGGAATGGTTTATTAAACAATCCAACTATAACATGGCAATTTAAATGTTCACCGTGTACCTGGACGTCTTCCTCTGCATCTAAATCACTGTTGATGTTTACGTGTTCTGTGTTATGATCACTGCAAGGCATGTAATTATAGGTTAGAAAAGCAAAAGCAAGCCTCAGAAATGATTTATTTATGGAAAACTATATAGCGTTATGTTTTCACTATACCTTCCAGACACTACCAATGTACCATCGTCGAGTAGGTAATCTATTACATTTTGAGGCAGTGGTAGAATAAGACTGCAAGATGGGACACAAAAGATTTAGCACAATAATCAAGATATACAGTCTCTCAGTGGTAGGGTCGTACTAACGTTACATTACATGGATGCTCATTAACGATCTACGATCATTTACACAGTATTGCATTTTCTCACTATATATGCATGTAAATGATGCTTACCTTTTAATAGTATGTTTCTTAAATAATGGGTACCAGACGGAAAATTGACAATTGACAACTTGCTCCTTCTTCATGCTGCAATATCCTGTGAAGGAAGTGCGTCCGACGGATAAATAATTCCGACAGAGACCATGGAGCTTCAATATTATCGTTTATGACTCACTTCTACAAATTATTCCATCAAAGATAAAAACCTACAGTTGAACTTAGTTAATTACACTCTCATTTCTGAGAATTATTCTACGAAAAAGCAATCTAATTTTTACAAGTTTTTAGAAAAGGGGGACGTTTTTTGTCGACGCACGACTATTACACAGATCGTCTGTTGACAAGAATAATCACTACCACAATAACGCACATGCTGATTATATTATATTTTAATGCTGTTTTCTCCTCATACCTATAATAATAAGCAATAAAAACTGTTACACGAATCTAATTTTGCATTCAATGTTTAAACGTGTACCAAAACTAGATGACTGAGTGAGTAGTTGCTCTCTCCACATTGTATCTTCGTCTCAACTTTCCGGGCATTGGGCATTCACGTGAGTTACATTTTGTTTTCCAGAATGTCTTCCTAGTTAAATGTTACTTTGAGAAAACCATCAGCGTCTATATAGTGTTATAGTTTACCCGAAGTTAAACATGTAAGTATTTGATTACCTGCGATGATTTTGTAAAGAAGGAATGGAAGACTGTATCATAAATCAGACTAGTAACTAAATGCTTATCAAACCTCCTCCAAAATCCTTTTCTTTTCAGTAACAGATTTGTTCTTTATCTCAAAGGGATTCTCTTGACAAAATGAGCAACGGTGAGCCACCCATTGTGACCACTGAACCACATATAGTAAAGGAAGAGGTGGGTGAGATCTCCTTACTTTAACACAATGGACAACATGTTTCTTATCTTCTTATATTATTACTATAGGTGATTGCCTCTGGAAAATGGGTGAAGCTAGAGAAGACCACTTATGTTGACCCAGTTGGTAACACAAGGTATATATTTGATTTAAATCCAACCAAGTCTTAAAGCATATTATTATTTAATTATGTATCCAACAGAACCTGGGAGACAGTGAAAAGGACGACTCGGCAAGCCACACAAGCTGACGGTAGGATTTGTGATTGTGTGGGTCCTTGTTTTTAGACTGTTTTCTTTGTTGCAAAGGCAAATCATAATATTCTCATGCAGGTGTTGGGATCATTGCTCTGCTGAAGAGAACTCTCCACAAAGACTGTGTTGTGATGGTGAAGCAGTTTCGCCCACCGATGGACTCCTACTCACTGGAGTTTCCTGCAGGTCAGTAACAACACTCAAATAAGTCATCCAAGTTGGTATTCTTATTTATTTTCTTGTAAAGTACAATAAAATCACAACAAGTGTTTGCTCAGTTTAAGCATAAAGTTAACCATTCATGTTTGGCATCTTTTTGATACATTCCAAAAATCATTGTTAGCCACTCCACATGCGGCAATAATTACATTCAGTGTAAATTTGAATAAATACTGCTTTCAATAAATATTGATACCCACTCTGCAAAATAAAGTAATAGGTAAATTGTTTATTTGAAAAACGGAGTGTAGTTTTCAGAGAAAGTATGTTTATATTCCAAAGTAAGATCCTAGTTTGTGACTTCCTGTTGCATACAATGGCAATACAAATTCTGATTCAGTCAGGACGTTGAAATGAACAATACAATGTTCTCAGATCTTTCACATATATACATTATATGTTATTTAATTAGTCAAGCAATGAAACAAGCTATTGAACAAATGCTATTGTAAATTCTTTGTAACGTTACTTTGTAAGTTCATCTTAGTACTCTATCTGTGTGATCAAGGCAAGTCTTTGTGAACAGGGTTAATTGATGAAGGTGAGACTGCTGAGGCAGCTGCTCTCAGGGAACTGAAAGAAGAGACTGGCTACAAAGGAGAAGTGGTTGGAGTCACCCCAGGTTTGATTTTAAGCTAAATCAAAATAAGTTGAAGATTGTTTATATTTGTCTTGACCAGTGGGGGCGGGTCCCAGCTCAAAAGTGGCCAAAATGACGTGCACCCCGGGCCGATGGGGGTGGACCTGGAATAAGAAATGGTCAATGCTAACATATAGCATCTTCTTACCTCTCGAAAACGTCTTTACAGGATGGTCCAGAAGTTGGCTCTTGGCCCAAAGCTCTGTTCCACATGTGTGTCAATGCTGAGGGGAGTGAATTTTTTTGGACCAGTCTAGTTTAGTTGCTGTGAATATTTGAAGGCACTCGTTTAAATGAATGGGGCTCATGGCGACTGACAAATGCTCAGATGCATTTTTTCACATTTTCCAGCCCCCGCGGCCATTTTGAATCACTCCAGTACAGCCCAATTTTTGGCCCATTAGTTAGAACGGCGGAGATAGGTGTGACTACGTCCGTTAATATATACAGTCTATGGTCTTGACACAACTGGCTCATGTTTTTAATATGTTGAATGGCTACACTTTTCTTTTTCTTTTAAAATAGAACAGTTACTACTTTTCTAAACTACGCAAAAAGGCATATACTCTCATGCCTAAGTATTTGTACATGAATGAAGTTTATCTTATCTTAATACTTTAATAAAGTCAGAACAATGCAATACAATATGCTTGAAAACACCACAAATTGACAGTGACACACTGTCCTGCTTGTTTCTGAAGCAGGATATCCCTGATTAATTAGCATTGAAAAAATAGCAAGACCCTTCCTAATGTTAAATCCCATCACCACCTTGTCATCATTCAAGACAACTACAATAGATATAATACTGGACCCCACGCGCATTTGAGTGTGTGATTAAAATGTCTGATAATAGCCAATATTCATTCCAAAGGAGTTTGCAATGCTGATTGTGGTGTTGTTTCAGTGACCTGTCTGGACCCTGGACTGTCCAACTGCACCACTCAGATAGTCATGGTAAACATCAATGGAGACGACCCTGCAAATATTCACCCGACTCAGCAGCTCGGTTTGTTCTAAGGATAGTCTTCAAATAGGTTGAAATGTAACAAATTGTTAACTTAATGTGTTTGTTGTTGTGTGTCTTCACAGGTGATGGAGGTATTTCCAATTTTTGTATTAAGATTGAAGATATTTTGTATGTATTTACATAAAATAGTACTAACTGTTTATCCATCCTTGTCAGAATTTGTTGAAGTCATACTCTTACCGCTTGATGAATTTCAAGACAAAATAGAAGGTAGGTGATGCATTGATTTATCCTGGTCTCACTAGTTTATAATTATTATGAACATGTTTTGTTTTCTCCAGAATTGATGAAGAAGAACAACATTATCGTTGATGCAAAAGTGTACATCTATGCTATGGGAATGGCCCAAGCTTTCTTTAAACCAAGGGAGCTTCCTGTGCTCAAGCAGTAATGTATCATATTAGTAATGCTTCAGCTCTTTCTGTTACAAACGAAAGGAAGATCATTTCTCAATAGCCTAATAGGAACTTATTTCTTCTTTCTTGTCCTCTTTAATGCCTCCGTGTGCTAGCAACATTCAAATTGTTTGCTAGAACCACTTTTCGAAAACTTAATAGATTATAAAAATATCAAAGCTTAAATTTGAACCCATGAATGTATACGTTTGATAGTAATATTGATGATTATATATGTCCATTTTATCCACACATTCCTTCTATTATTATACACCGTTTGTGTTACTAACATCAAATATTGTGTCCCCGTTTTGGCCACTGTAAACCACCTTGATTTTTTTTTTTTTTTTACGTTTGTGTTTGTCATTTGATTAACATAATAGTACACTTTTAAAACGCTATGAACTTGTACGTTACTTGAAAATGTTTGCTTTTTTGTCTTTTGATGGATTGTGTCATTTAATTTCAGTTTAAATCTAATGGTTATCAGATGTCACAATTTTAAAATGTAGATAAACTTGATTATTCCCTTTACTAGTATTAATAAAAAATCTAGATTAAACTCTTGTATTTTTCTGGCCAGTCTGGTTATAGTATGAAATATAATATATGTCTCTTGAAGAAGTCATACAAAGTGCTAACAGTATTTTACACAAGAAATGAAACATTTGAATTACTGAACATAGTCAACAATCACAGTAGGGCTAAAATCATTTTGAAAATTGTTCAGTTGATTCTTCAAGGCTGCATGAATTTGCGTCACTAACTCCGCATGAGACTTATACAGTCAGGATTGCTTTAAAGTCTATTCTCTGCGAACATTAAGTCAGTGCACTGTATTTAAATGTAAGTCTCTGGGAGTTCTAAAAGCGATTATAAGTATTACTCAGATCCATGGTATTACTACACGCCAGAACATGCCTCTGTAGTTCAGTAAACCTCCTGTAGGTGGCAACACTGACTAAACTTGTAATCCACTCACTCTCATTGAATCCGCAGAGAAAGCCTCTGGACCAATCACGTGCTACCCCATGTAAACACAAACAACTCGTTAGCAGCGACTTTAGCTTTAGCCTCAGCTAGCATGAAAACTTAATAGAAAACTCGTCTTTTACGAATATCTTGCCGAGAAACGTCCTTGATGCTCGTGCACACGTTTACCTGACACGTGGACAAGCTGCTGGATATGGAGGTCGCTGTGAAAGGTTATTATCAAAGTCTTACACTTACATCCTGTAAAAGTGCCCAACCGTGTAATATTTCTTACTTTTAATTCTGTCATTAAAGCCTGTGGGTTGACTTTAGCTGTGTTTTCCCACTAAGATTAAACAGACATATGTTTGGTACTGTGCGTTAGTAATTAGTTACTATTATCAGCTTTTTTTTGGCTGGAGCAGAGTTTAGTTTAGAAATGTTGTAGTCTAGGATGGTATTAATTCACCCAGGAAATAACATAGGTTTATAGAATGTTTAGTGTCTTAAAAGTGCTCATTGAAAGGTTTGCACTAAACTATGTAACTATGTGAACATTGTTTTATTAGGGAAGGCCAAGCGGAAACACCTAAGTGCAAGTGACTGTAGTGAACTGGGCCAAAGTCCAGCAGGCTCCAGCTCCCTCACCCAGCCTCATGTTCTAAGCCTGAGCCAAAGCGCTCGCAAACCAGAAAAACACCAGGCTCCATACACTCCTAAAAAGCGCCGCAAATGTGGTAAGTGCTGGCTGTGCTTCTGAAGGAAACTAGACCCAGGGTCAGGGTCATACCCAACCTCCTCCAACAGTTCTATCATCAATTATTTAAAGCATACTCACCTTCTCAATAACTGTGGTTTGGTCATTTGGATTCACCATTATGCAAAAAAAACTTCAGGGCATGATTGACAAATCCAGCCGTATCACAGGTCAACTCCTTTCTCCTATAGACTTACACATCATCACTCAAACATTCCACAAAATCACCTCTGATCCTCTGCATCCCCTGTTCACCCTCATTCACTCAGGGAGACGCGACAGATCACTGTGAGCCAAGTCTGTTAAATTCATCCCCTCTGGCATAAGTACAGTTAATAGAATCTTGTGCTAATTACGTCACTTACTAACTTTTTTATGTTGTAGTATGTTTGTCTGTAACTACACTGTGGAGATGTGAGATGTCAAAAAGCTGTACCTGACATGCCTGGTTCATTTATGAATGTTAGATTTGGTTGTTGAAAGTGTAATTTTTTAATGGAATTACCACTAATATAATTTTCTTGATTTCAAATAATAATTAAGGTTATGTGTGCTTGTTTTTTCCTTCATAGCCTCTGCTTCCTCTAGTCCAGCGAGCCATCAGAAAGCTATCAATGAGTATTTCAGTGTAACCGGAGTCCTCAGTTGTAGCCCAAACAAACTCCAAGAGCCCTGTTCATCTACAAACTCAACTGCTTCAAGGGCACTTTTCCTTAAGGAAGACTCCAACAAGGACCAAGATGATGATGATGATGAGGATGATGATGATGTTAGTTTGTTAGCAGAGGCTTTATGTCCTGAACTTTGTCCTTTCAATGAAGAAGACATTGATGATACTAGTTTATTGACTGCAGAAAATGCCCACCATAATGATCCAGAGAAAGGGGAGGAAATTGACTATTTACAGGGTATAACTGAAGAGATGTTTGATGATGACTTTGAAGCCAGTGCAATTGGCGTCCCAGCTGCTGAAGAGGATGTAGAAGCTCTCCCGGATGCCCATTTTGGACTTTTAGGCTGCTCCAAGACTTTATTAGAGCCTATGGGGTGTGTGGACGACCTACCTGAGGAGGTGCTGAGGCATGTATTGAGTCTGGTGCCTGCCCAAGATCTGTTCCGCAGTGTTCAGCATGTGTGTCACCGATGGAGGGATATTGTGCAAGACCCAAAGGTATCAAATACATTTTGAATTTCTGCAGTACTTGTCATTAGTAAGTATAATGGTATCAGAATCAGAATCATTTTTATTGCCACGTAAGTAACAGGAGGTCACAGACTAGGAAATTGCTTTGGCTCAGTGCAACAGTCAAAAAGAGATAATAAAAATAAGAATAAAAAACACTTCTAAAGAATACATTTAAATTTAAAATAGAGTTACAGTTACTATTTACAATATACAAGTGCACATGGTGCACACAATGTAAGGTGACAGCAGTACAGTGAAGTAAAGTGACGTATGATGGGCAGTAAAGTGACTTTATAAAGGGCTTGGGGACAGGTTAAGAAGTGTTCAAGAGTCCAACAGCAGAGGGGAAGAAACTGTTCTTGTGGCGGGAGGTTCTAGTCCTGATGGACCGCAGCCTCCTGCCTGAGGGGAGTGGTTGGAATAGTCCATGTGCAGGGTGAGAGGGGTCGGCTGTGATACGACCAGCCCGGCCTCGAGCTCGGGCGACGTACAGGTCCTGCAGCGATGGAAGGCTGCGGCCGATCACTTCCTCTGCAGAGCGCACAATGCGCTGTAGTCTCTGTTTGTCCCTGACTGTGGCTCCAGCGAACCACACGGTGATGGAGGAGGTGAGGATGGACTCGATGATGGCCGTGTAGAACTGCACCAACATCTGTGCAGGCAGCTTGGCTTTCCTGAGCTGCCGCAGGAAGTACATCCTCTGCTGGGCCTTCTTGTTGAGGGAGCTGATGGTCGGCTCCCACTTGAGGTCCTGGGGGATGGTGGTGCCCAGGAAACGGAAGGACTCCACAGAGGTGATGGGGGAGTCCATCACGGAGGGTGGGGGTGGGGGGACAGTGCTCTTCCTGAAGTCCACAATCATCTCCACTGTCTTCTGGGCGTTCAGCTCCAGGTTGTTACCACTGCACCAGGACACCAGCCGGTCCACCTCCCTCCTGTAGGCAGACTCATCGTTGTTGGAGATGAGTCCAATGAGGGTGGTGTCGTCCGCGAACTTGATCAGCTTCACGGAGTCGTGGCTGGAGGTGCAGTGGTTGGTGTACAGGGAGAAGAGCAGGGGAGAAAGAACACAGCCCTGTGGGGCTCCTGTATTTATAATCCGAGAGTCCGAGACATTCTTCCCCAGACGCACTCGCTGCTTCCTGTCCGTCAGGAAGTCAGTGATCCACCTGCAGGTGGAATCGGGCACGTTGAGCTGGGAGAGCTTGTCCTGGAGCAGGGATGGCAGGATTGTGGCGAAGGCAGAGCTGAAGTCCACGAACAGGACCCTGGCGTAGGTCCCCGGGGAGTCCAGGTGCTGTAGGATGTGGTGGAGGGCCAGGTTAATGGCGTCGTCTACAGATCTGTTGGCTCTGTAGGCGAACTGCAGGGGGTCCAGGAGGGGGGAGGTGAGGGACTTGAGATGGGAGAGAACCAGGCGTTCAAATGACTTCATGACGACAGACGTAAGTGCTACAGGTCTGTAGTCATTGAGTCCTGTGATCCTGGGCTTCTTCGGGACGGGGACAATGATGGAGGATTTGAAGCAGGCCGGGACATGGCAGGACTGCAGAGAGGTGTTGAAAATGTCCGTGAACACAGGAGTAAGCTCACTGGCGCAGTGTCTCAGAGTGGCCGGAGACACGTGGTCCGGGCCAGGAGCTTTGCGGGGGTGCAGCCTCAAGAAGAGTTGTTTAATCTCTTTAGCGGCTATTGTTAGGCTGGGGGCAGGGCTGATGGGTGGGTCGTTAGAGTAGTGGGGGGTGGGGGAGGGAGAGGTGTCAGGGGCAGCATGAAAGCAACTGAAAAATAAGTTCAGATCGTCAGCTAGCTTGTGGTCGTCAGCACAGGGGGGGGCTTTGGGTTTGTAGTTGGTGATCTCCCGTAGGCCCCTCCAGACAGAAGCAGTATCGTTGTTACCAAACTGCTCCTGTAGTCGTTCTCTGTGCCGGGACTTGGCTGCTTTCAGTTCTCTCCTGAACTGATATTTAGCTGCTTTGTAGCCGCTGCGGTCCCCCTCCCTGAAAGCAGACTCCTTTGCTTTCCTGAGCTGCCGGAGTTTGGCAGTGAACCAGGGTTTGTCGTTGTTATAGATGACCCTGGTCCTTGTTGGAATGATGCTATCCTCACAGAAGTGAATGTATGATGTCACAGTGTCCGTATATTCATCCAAACTATCTGTGGCAGCTCTGAAAAGGTCCCAGTCTGTAGATTCCATGCATGCGCGCAGCTCTTCCACAGCTTCATCAGACCACACTTTGGAGCTCCTCATTGCAGGTTTCGAGAGCTTTAGTCTCTGTCTGTAAGCAGGAACCAGATGTATCATGGAGTGATCTGAGAAGTCGAGGGCTGGCTTGGGAACAGCGCGAAAAGCTCCGCGCACGGTGGTGTAACAGTGATCCAGAGTGTTCTCCTCTCTGGTCGGGCATTTGATAAACTGTCTGTATTTGGGTAATTCCTGGCTCAAGTTTCCCTTATTAAAATCCCCCAGGATAATAATCAGAGAGTCCGGGTATAAGCGTTCCATACACAGTACTTGCTCTGCGAGTGCGCGCTGAGCGCACGAGGCTTTTGCAACTAACTATGTTTCTAAATCATTTTGAGGGAGAAACATAACGCACTGTAAAACACATTGTTGTCAGGCTAGAGGCCTTATGCTTGAACCTGGTTTGTGGAAGTTATGGTATGGGTAGGCTTACTTTATTGATCCATGCAGGGCAATTTGTCAACTGCATTTGACCCATTCTTTGATGCCCTTAGGGCTTCTGTCAGGATCAGTGGTCTCCTGAAGTCAGAGCCTGGCGACCCAGCTCTCAATTTTTTGGCATGGTTTTTTCCTAATAGTATATGTTTTTAGTGGTAGGGGAAACTGGAGCACAGTTTGCATGCACAATCCTGGGTCTTCCTCAGCCCCAAAGATCCAGGACCTTCTTGCTGAGAAGTGAGAGGGCTAACAACTCACTCACTGTGTTACCCTGAAGTACCCTCTGAGTTACTAAATGAACTGAAATTTAAGCCGAGTATGTTTAAGGTCATGTATTGCTTAAATCTAGTTACCAATGTTCTTATGTGTTTGACACTTTGGACTAGTTTCAAATATGTGATATAAACTCTACTTGTCAACTCTTGAGTTACATTGTTGGAGCTGCTACAGCACCAGCCAGACAGAGGAGGACAGGGCTCAGCCAGCTGTGTTTTGAGTACTAATATATGATGCACATTTGAACAAATCAGTACAGTATTTTGCAGAAAGTGAAATCCTGACCAAAAGGTTTGAGTAAGAGTTTATCACATGTCAAGTAAGTAAGTAAGTAAGTAATCTTTATTTATATACCGCCTTTCACAGACCAAAGTCACAAAGCGGTTTACAATTGTTATTTTTGGGCATTTGTCTCTCACTCCACACAGAGATGGGAGCGGGGTCGCCAGTACAGGAGGCGCATGCCAGATCTATTGGACATGTTTTTTAGTGGTAGGGGAAACCGGAGTACCCGGAGGTCTAACTGTCCTCTCTGCTGATTGGTCCATGTTGGTACTTGTAACTCTAAAAACCCACTCCTGGTCTTGTGGTCTGAACGAAACCTAACTCTGGTCCAGAGTAGAGTACGTTACCAATTTTCTGCTGAACTGAACCAAAAGAATTTCCAGGGACACTGACCCCAAACCAGAGCAAGAAACCGGCCTCTGCAAGATTTACAGTAAATAAAATACAAACTGATGAGGTTTAGGTTTGTTTGAAAACAAAAGAAGAATGCGCTGTTATATTATTATTATTATTATTTGTTTTGTTTGTCTCTTCTTTTGTAGTTTGTTCCATTCAAGAAAAAGTATTTCTGCTATGTGATGGGAGAGAGCCTCACAGTTCAGTGGGTCAATGATTTTTTCCTACAGACGATTTTTAAAACTACGCCAGATCACAGCATCAGAAACTTGGTTATGTATGTTTTTCATTAACTTCTTATCTGCTTTGGTTCTTCAGTCCTTAATTTTTAAGACTTTATGTCCACGACTTTATGACTCAACGTGTTAAAATGATTTAGCCTGATCAAAATGTCAATTCTTAATTAATCCAATTAATGCTGGTGTCTTTGGTGAAGTCCAGCTGGTCATCCAAAACTATAGTTACTATAGTTACATCACCACCAGTATGAACAAGAAAAATGTTTTGTGTGCATGTAATATTGCTTTAGATTTGATGTCTCACTCATAGCAAGTTTTCAAGGACATAACCACCAAACAAACCCGAAGCAATTTTCAATTGTGTGTTTGTTTGCAGTCTGATGGCCCAACACAGACTGCCTCCGCGTTTCAGGCCTGATGATATTTTAAATTGTGTGAAGACACATAGGTTATTTCCTCAGGCAGAAGCCTCCATCAGATTAAGGATTCCAGTCATTCAGAAACAACACAGTCTGGGCATTCAGGTATGATTTTTTTCAAGAATACACGAAACATATTGTTAACTTTGACTTTTGCTCACACAAAAAAACACATCAACACAATATTGCCTGTATGAAGCTGTCAGTAGTGTCCATTATCAGTTGTCGAAGAACGCAGTTGTGTCTTAACAGAGATGAAATATAGTGATGCTCAGAAGTATTCCATAGCCCTAAATATTGATGTAGATATTTTATATTAATTAAGGAATATAAATGTGTTTTTTATATTTTCTAAACTCTATCCCAGGGCTCAAACCCCTTTGCTGCAATGGCAGTCATCCTCCTGCTCTCGGAGTCTGTGGAAGACGTCCAGTCTCTAGTGTCACTGGTCAGAAGCTGCCTGTCTTACACGGCCATCTCCGAGTACCTCCACCACATGGCCCTAATGCTGCTGGCCCTGAAGAGAGAAGCAGGGGTTCATATCAGTAGCAGGTATCTACTGCTATTATCCTCTTCAATAACTTCTCCCTGTAAATGTTTCACACTATTAATATGATGGACATGGATTTATTTGGTCTATTTATAGATTGCACTACAACATTTACTATGTGCTTCATTTGATGGAGAATGGACCTTTTGCTGTTACCCATGATCATAGCAGGTGAGATTAACTTAAACACATCCTAGTCATTTATGAATAACAACATATACAGTGCCTCTTAACAGTAATTTTACACCTTCACAACCATAAACAAAGATTTTATTGTGAGTTTATTTGTTTAGTACTGAAAGTAACGGACAACTATGGAGTCAAAGTGAAATGGAAGAAGGTGCTTTGGTCAGATGAGACAAAAAATTAACTTTTTGACCCAAACGCAAAACGCAATGAATGGTGCAAATTTATGACACTCATCAAGCCCTAAGTGCACTATCCCTAGTGTCAAATATGGTGGGGGAGCATCATGCTATGAAGCTGCTTTTCTTCAGTGGGGACCGGGAAGATTGTAAGAACAGGGAAGATGGATGATAGCCAAATGCAGCTACTTTTTGAAGGAAAACTTGCTATTGTCAGCAAGAGAATTGAGGCTGGGGCAAAAAATCACTATCCAGCAGGACATTGACCCTAAACACAAAGCTAAATCTTCAAATGTGTTAGAATGGCCAGACCCAAATCCAATAGAAAATAATAATAATAATAATTCATTTTATTTCATGGCACCTTTCAAGACGCCTTACTATATCTATATCATATATATATATATATATATATATATATATATATATTATAATTTTATATGTATAAATGATCATTTGTTTATTTGTGTCTGATTCTAGCAGACATCCCCAGATTAATCTAACAGGCGAACAACAGCAGGTCCTCAGCCATGACATCCAGAGGGACCATGTGCTCAAGATCATGGCCTTTGCAGGTAACTGGATTTCTGTACTTATTATACATCCAACATTATGAAAAAGATTAGCATTTGAACTAATGTAAAATAAGGTTAAGTATGTTTTCGGTTTAAAAAAAAAAGTTTTCAGTATGTTTAAGTTGTTGTTGGTATAAAGTATATAATATAATAATGAAAAGTTTCATGTGGCCTGTTTTTTAGGTACTGGAAAGACCACTACACTGGTGAAGTACGCAGAGCAGAGACCGCACCTGCGCTTCCTCTATGTCGCTTTCAACAGATCTGTGGCGAAAGAGGCTGAACGACGCTTCCCCGCCAATGTGGACTGTAAGACTGTCCACGCTTTAGCCTTTAAAGAGGTTGGTGTGAGGTGAGTCAAATCTGTTATCCAACACATAGTTACATCATTTGTTTTGGTGTGGTCAAAAGTCTCTTCGTTGAAGGGAGTTGAAGAACTACAGTAGCACTGAAATTAAGCTTCTGCCGTGTCCAAAGATGTATTTATTCGAGATCTCTGAAATACCAATTTTTTAAATGTAAGAAAGTAAAAACAGTAGGAGTATATTTGGTAAGACGTACACTTATCAATCAAATCATCAACCTTTATTTGGAGAGCACTTTTACTACACAAGGTGCTTCTCAGCCCATATCACATAAGGGATAAATCATAAACATTTAAATCCCACATTGCATTAAAAGAAACATTACGATCACATGGAATATTAAAAACATAAAAAAATAAATCACACATTTAATTAAAAATATTATATTTAAGGGATTCAAATCATAAACAACCACAGTGCATTAAAAGAGTAGACAAAAATCTTCAGTTGTATGTACAGGCAAACAGAACTTTCCTCAACCTGGATTTGAACAGGAAGACTGTTACTCTTACATACAAAATGGCAATTAAGGCGGTTTGCAGTAATCATTTTTTGACCCTCTTCTACCCTCCCATGTTTAGTCCTGACCCTGGGCACCAGCAGGAGGCCAGTCCCTGTGCTTCTCAGAGTTTGAAATCTAAACTACTAGAGACAAATGCATGGATAAGAATCACCAAGTCTGCCTTAGACCCTATGTTTTTCAATTTGGAAATGTTTTTCAGATGGTAGAAATTTTACCAATTTGATGTGGCTGTTAAGTCCATTATTACCCTTGGATTTTGGACCTTATTTAAAGGTTTTAGGGAGAAAGAGTGGAGGTGATAGATGACGCTCTCTCTTTGTTTCCAGGGACCAAAGACAATCATTTCAGTTTCAGGTTCATCCCGCAGCGCCAGTTCTGCTTACCAAAAGTGGCCCACTAGGCAGCTCACATTGAGAACTTGAGAAATTATTTAATGAGCTTTTTTTATCATTATTATAACCCTAACCCTAACCTATTGAGCAAATAAACCAACTCAACGTAGCTTGTTTTTTTGTTGCAGGTATCAAACTGGCAGAAAGCTCACATGCAGCATGAAGCCATTCAGCATCAACATGGTCCTGCCCAAAGGCCGAGCTGGTTTCCGTAAATCCAAAATTGTGATGCGAACAATAACTACTTTTCTGGCCTCGATAGATGAAGAAATTGATCTAACTCATGTGCCGAGCTGGTACCTGTCCAAAAATCGTGTTCAGACGCCGATTGATGAGGCAGAGAAACTGGTGCGAACCATAAGAGAGAAGTGTAATGATTTGACTGATTAAAAGATGTCTTAAAACTTTCTCTCATGTTTTAGTTGTTTTTGGAGGATGCCAGGTATGTGTGGATGCAAATGAAGAATGTCAGACAGAGAAGTAAAGAGGCTTTCTACATGACTCATGATGGTACTGTACATTATGCGTTTGAGTTTTAAAAAATTGAAAACAAAAAGCAATCTGAAGTGTTGCTTTTTGTTTTCCAGGTTACCTGAAGATGTGGCAGCTCTCTAGACCCTGCTTATCCCATAAATATGATGTAATTTTCATTGACGAGGCCCAGGATTGCACTCCAGGTAAGATCGTAGTGCCTGTGGTGATTGGTGCACTCGGAGCAGTGACCCTGAAGCTGAAGGAGTGGTTATAGTAGATCCCTGGAACCATATCGAATATCTCGATCCAGTAATGTGCAGTGCTAGGAACAGCAAAGATACTGCAGAGAAACCGCAGCCTCCCACGGAGCATGAACGTTGCAAGTTTTACAGATGTTCATAGAACTCTACTGTGAATAAAATCCTGATGCGGCTTATGACGCAGCATTGTCATACATGTGAACTGGTGGTTTCTGCATTTCTGCAGCGATCCTGGACATCATGCTGTCTCAAAGCTGTGGGAAAATCCTAGTGGGAGACCCTCATCAGCAGATCTACACTTTCAGAGGAGCTGTCAACGCACTGGACACAGTGGATCACACTCACATCTTCTACCTTACACAGGTACTGGGTATATTTGATGATGTTACAGACTTGTTTTACATAATCAAATCAATGTTACTTGTTTTCCCAGAGTTTTAGGTTTGGTGCGGAGATCGCTTATGTTGGAGCTGCTATTCTTAAAGTCTGCAAAAATGTCCAGAAAATTTTAGTTGGAGGAAAGCAGAAGGGTAAGTGATTTATGTCTATGCTGATAACCAGTAACCGTCTGGTTATATGCCTATTCTAATGGTTCCTGTGTAGGGGGTGTTAGTGACGAGAGTGCGGCGGCTGTTGGAGACTCTGTACGAAAAGGAGTGAGTCCAAATCAAGGGAAAACTGCCATATTGTCCCGTACCAACGTCACCGTTTTTTCTGAAGCTGTCAAACTGACTTATGCCAATTCCAAGTGTCGAGTTCACTTTGTTGGAGTAAGTACTATTTTCTTGGACGACAGATTTAGATAAAGTAATTTTAAGTTTATTTAAATGGTGCTTTCTTTTAAAAAGACACATTTGTTGATTGCTATCTGCTTGAAAAATTACATGGTGTGTTTTTAAAAGATATGTCATGTCTCTTCAGGGGATACAAGGAATTGGCCTGGACAGAATTCAAGACATATGGAATATTATGCAAGACTCAAAGAAACTACAGGACGGACAGGAATATAAAGCAACTTGTAAGCCACACTACAATAACACACAAAAAATGACATGATTATATTTATATGTAATTTATTTCCAGACATTAGGGACCCATTCCTTCGCATTTTTGCAAAGAAATCTAAAAATCCATTCCAAGCTCTGAAGCAGTATGCAGACCAAACTGAAGATCGTGAACTCGAGGCCAAACTCATAATTGTGGAAAAATTCGGCAACCGCATCCCAGAGATTGTATCCAAGCTCAAAATGTGTTATGAACAAGACTATGTCAAAGCAGGTGGAGGAAATGTTTATACAGTCCTAAAACATTTGTAATCAAACCATTATAAAAAACCTGTAAATTGATGCATTTGGTAATTCAAACGTATTTGTTACCCAGACTTCATCCTGGGCACCGTGCATAAAGCCAAAGGGATGGAGTTCGACACAGTGATGGTGACGGATGACTTTGCAAAGCTTCCTGCATCACGACACAACCTCCGCTTCCACAGGAGCTTTGTCATAAGTGCGTAAATCACATGATTTCAGTTAGATATTCCACTTGTATTCTTGATATTGATGATTAGGTAAAATAATTGTGGGGATTCATTTCATTATCCTCCCTAGGTCATATTTACTATAGGTAAATAGGTTATCTTTAATTTGTTTGTTTACATCCCCTTGAATTAATCAATATAATACAAATAAGTGCTTAAAAAGTAATAATAATAATTATACATATTCAGCATGTTTATAGATGTAACATTTCTGCCTGTTTTTGCTAGATGAGATTCAGAAAGATGAGTGGAACCTAATGTATGTGGCTGTGACCAGGGCTAAATCTTCTCTCATTATTTCGGAGAGCATCCGCCGCCTTCTCACTCTGGACGGGGTGAGTTTGCTTTAATGTTTTCTGAGCTCTTTCACTCTTGATGTCGCTGTAAAAGTACCTTTTGATAATTGTTTAGTCTTCTATGTTAATACCCCAATTAATCTTACGGTTGTGTGAATAAAATTATAAACATGGATTAATTCAATAATTTTCTGTTTACCAAACAATAATTTTTAGTTTTAGTTTTAATTCAATATCATTAAATGTAATATCTAAATTCAGAACCAGAATGTGACCGTAATGTATACGTTTTCTGTATTTTTTCCTCCTCTTGTATTCTGTTTGAGTAAAATGCTCTTCAGATAAACACAAGACAACACAGCTGCTGACACGGCCTGCTCTCTTTCATAATATTTAGACATTGGTCGTACTTTAACAAAGCAAATCCACTTCAGCTTTCAACATGTTATCGTTGTTTTCCCTCGTCATTTAAACTCAAAAACTGAGTTGGTAACTCTTTCTGTTCTACGTGAAAACAAATCCACAAATATTAGACAATTTCACATTTTATTGAAAACATCACAGTAAATTGACTGTTTCACTATTTTAGTTGAAAGGTGTCTATGGGAAATAATACTTTTTCAAAGAATGATCTGAGAAGACGCATGTAGACATGTTCTTGTTCTTTTTTTCATAGTGATTGATTGTAATAGGTTATGTTCTCGGACCTTGTGTGTCGCAGGAGTACTATCTGAAGTCGAACATGCCTCTTACCCTGATCAAAGACAAAGAGCCTCTGCCCTGCTGTGTGGACAACTGCCCCAACTGTATCACCCCCGGCTCAGCCTTCATCATGTCGAGACGTCAGATCAACTGTGTAAGAACTCATCTTACTCACTTACTCTCATTATCAATGTTATCTCAAATGGGATACTTGGCATACAAGTTTTCAGATACACAATTGCTAAATGTGCACATAGAATTTAATTATTTATTTCAGACCCGGCATGTCAAACACGTGGGCTTTTATATCATTTTAAAGCTAATTGAATTGTGTTCTATACATATAGGGTCTCCCTCCCTGTGGGTTTCCCTAGGTCTCCCCAAGGTTCCTCACTTTTTCCCACTAGGTTTTTTAAGAGTTTTTCCTTTTTCGATGCAGGAGGGTCTTGTTGGACAGTTAGTGTCCAACAGAAAGGATTGGTGATGATCAGGACACTTTAGCATTCTACAACATGTATGGACATTTTCTTCTGTGTGTGCTTTATATTTTTCATGTGTTTTAACTGTTGATTCTCTGATCTGTGTTGATGATTTCAATGGTTTTGTTAAGTCCTCTGAGATGACTTCTGTTGTGACTTAGGGCTATACAAGAATAAATTGTATTGTATTGTATATAGCTCAACTAATTACAACTTATAAATATAATTATAATAATTTGTCCCACAAGAAATAAAGAGTACTCAGGTTGCACACATCAAACAGGATCTATTCTTATATTATACTAACCTATTTGGACAAAATTACTCAGTTCAATTTATTCTTGTATAGCCCTAAATCAAAACAATAGTTAACTCAGAGGACTTAACAAAACCTTTGAAATCGCCAACACAGATCAGAGAATCAAACACACAGGTATTGGTATATATGGGGAGTTGACAAAAATGATGATAATGATGATAAATAAATAAATAATAAAGATTACTGCAGCTTCTAACAAACTTTACACAAAGAAGACGGTGGATATTTGATATAAAAGCGTAGCTAAAAATGTGTTTCCCTTGACAAAATGGCTTTGACACCTCTGTGTTTGAGAGAAACAACTTAAGAATACAGCTTTTGTGCGGTGTGTCTCTATGGTGTGAGTAGAAGTATTGGGTTGGATTCATGCTAATCCTGTCTCTCTCCAGACGTACGGTGTGTCCAGCGGTGGGCCCCTGTGCGAGCGCTGTGTGTGGGCGCGGATCGGCCCCATGGCGTTCCTCATGACTGATGATGTGCTGTCAATGGCTGAGATCCCAGAACACTTCCAGATGGCTCGGCACCACATCATGCTGTTCGCTTTGTTCTGAACAGAATCCTGAAAACATCTAAACAAATTTTCTTTTAATTCCTAATCTGTAAATAGTTTTAAATGTTTTATTTTTACAAAAAACATGTTTAGAATAGCCCAAATGCAAAGAGACTGTCAGAGAATTTTTTGTAATTATTGATCGGTTTGATCAGCTGTGTGTGCATGTTTTGTTAGGAGTTCAGACTTTTCATGTCCATAAGAGAACTTTGATAAAAAAAAACTTGAGTCCTTTCTTTTATATCTAATTTTTTACAAGGAAATAAATGGGAGTAAACTACAAACAATGCTTAGAACAATTTTGAACATTGTAAAGCGCTTTGGGTGACCTTGATCTGTAAAAATGTGCTCTATAAAGATTACTTACTTGCTTAGAACTGGATCAATTTTTTATCATTTTATTTACAACGTCGAATACAGAGTAGTATATCCAAACTTGGGCTATTTTATATAGGCATTACAGGGGTGTAATGCCTATATAAAATAGTTAATACTAATAATAATTCATAGATAACACACTTTGCAAATGCAATGCACATCTCAAGAAGCTACAGCAAGTTAAGTATTGGTTCAATCAGGTCAGAATTCACGGAAATTCCATTTCAATTACAACACGACTCAAGTACTATATTTTTTTTTTTTTCATACAAAATATTTTACTTGAACGTGCACCCGGATAGGGCATACCCAACCAACTTTGTGGGGGTGGGGGCAATGGGGTCTTACTATCGTCATATTCCATCTATACAACACACTTCATGTCCTTCATGTTTACCCAGCGTAAGACAAAATGCACAGACACAACATCAATTCTGTTGGCGGGATAACAACAGACTATATATAGGACGTATTAATGGTAATAAAGAATCCACCCTTAGGCTGTGTTTTGTATTTGCACAAAAAGGCATGAAGGGATAAGATCACACAACACATGCCATCTGGATTGGTCTTCCACACTTCTTGGGGGTATTTTCAGTTTAATTAAAACAAGCTCACCAACAAAAGACATTTATGAAGAAGCAGTGAATATGCGTGAACCAGAAACATCACTGACTTACCCAAAACAAATCTTCAATGTTTATATGGAACTAGTGAAGATGTGTTCTCCAGTGCTGCTTTTGTAACTTATATTGTGTAACCTGCTGCTGTGTGAACTGTGAGACTCACTGTGTGTGTGTGTGTGTGTGTGTTCTGCTTTGAGTTTATGCTGCAGTTGAATTGTCCTTTGGGATCAATAAAGTTTTCTGAATCTGCTGTGATGCGTTGTCTTAAGATCCACAAACTCAAACATCAAATAAGTATGTCACTAGCACTTTGTTGTTTTTTAATGCCAAGTTTGTATAGTCTAAAAGCCACAACATAAAACACATTTCCTCCAATAACATAAGCAACCAACTGCCGACAAGTACAGACAATACTCAATTGGATCTGCACACAACTCGTGCTCTATCATTTGCGTGTCACTTTTACTTCCAAAACCTGTGTGAACCAGAAACGCTGTGGGGAATCTAAAGTAATACATTATTCCAGTGAAGTGTGTACGCTCTGTAGCTGCACTCAAATCAAACCGTCCAGAATGAAACCGCCCTTTTTGAACACTAAGCTCACAAAATAAAATGTACAGTAGTTAACACATGTTTTAATGTTCTCCATCTGGAGCTTTTTTTCTTTATGACAGGGTCCTAAATCTCAATTTCAGTGACATTTGCCCCAGTTTTGAAAGGATATTTGTTCAAAACCCTACATTTAGGTCATTATAACCTCATGTAAGTTTACCAAAGAAGATATATGCAGATGTGTGCTATTCTTTACAACTTATAAAAAGAGTAAATATGTTATCAGAAGCCAAAACTACTGGGTTAGGGTTCACAAAGAGCTCGGTTACATGTTTGTACTGCAATGGGTCCTATAAGATAATTCTTTTAGTTCAAAAACAACATTCAACTTGTCACTCACCATTTGTGTGACCCCTGAGAGTGAAAGGAAAAGCAAGAAAAAAAACAAGTACAAATTGTGCTTTCTGTAAAAAAATACAAATCATTGTAGAACTTTTCCCATGATTTAAACGATGATGAGATGATCAGGAAAACCTCTTTTCTGTTCTGCCTGCTCATAGTCTTGTAGTTGTAGTAGTCTCACGTGTCCCCATTTTGTAATCGCATGGGAATAGTTTCTTCCTCTGATATTCTTTTATTGGTATTTCTTTTGCTCCTATAAATAAATGTAAGAGTAAAAAAAATGTTCTCAACCAATCTAAGTTCAGGGTATAGTCTGACGTACCGCTTGTAAAGCCAAAAACCTGCTCCACCGCCGACGGCCAGGAGAAGTAGTATTACAACTGGTGCAATCACTGACAAAACAAAAACAAAACAAAAAGATCATTGCAATTGAGTAAAATAAAGACACACAATATGATGTTCTATTTGTGTACATTTTGGCCCTTAATACATATCTTGAATATTTATTTAATTTGGCATTTCATGTTGAAGTAATTTATTTAGTAGAAAATACATAAATATCTATAACTGAAAAAGTAAATATCAAAATGCTATAGAAACTGTTCCTCAAAACAGCAGAGTTCTGGAGAAAATGTGGTTCCTCGGAGACAAACCATTTTCATAAATTCTGGGAGTGTCCTCTGTTAAAACAATACATAGTTCCCACATGACGTCACTACATACGGGGATTTGCCGACCCGGCGCCATTTGTGTTGGCATGCTGTGGGCAAAACAATAGAAAAAGAAGCTGAAACGTGTTAATGTCGTGATAAAGTTGAAAATGGTCATCTCCTGCTGGGTCAATGGATGTTCAAATCGTGCCGGAGGTTCCGTTAAACTTGGATTTTACAGTATACCCATCATTAGACTTCATGAATGTGAGAAGACTAAGCTTTTGTCAGAACAACCACGGAGGTTATGGCTTGCGAAGATAAACAGGCAAGAAACTCCCTCAAAACACGCAAGAATATGTTCGGAGCACTTTGTGTCAAGTGCGTATCGTATCTTATAATGTGTTGACAGACGTAATTTACTCAGTACTAACTTGTGTATGCTGATACCTGGTAACTTGAGAGTTTCATTATTTAGATTACTTTATTATGAGGAGGATCGGTGTCGCGTCCGAGGCTCTCGAGGGCAACGTAAATGTATTAAATAGATAATAATAGTTCTATGGTGGGCTAAAACAATGTTCACAAACAGCATTGCTTCTGTAAAAAGATCTGTGTCATAAAATAAACTGCTCTTTACGCCTGGAAAAATCAGTTGCCCACCATTCACCAAAACATACGGTCAAAAACGCGGAAATAAACAATAACAGCAATCCAGAGTGTCTGTGTGGCATTAGCATTAATTAAATTAATTGTTAATATAATTAAAATAATTAAATGGAGCTCCAACTGGTATTAAATCTAAAGTTTTTGAGAAATGTTTGCATTGCTTGTTAATTTTTGCTGCATAATTTGATCAAATATGTAAAACATGTCCGTAGCACGTTAAACTGTGGTGCCATTGTATTAATATACAATTATTTGCTCAAAAGTTGCCCTTTTTTTCCAATTTGCGTTTGAATATCTACATTTATTCTCATTCTTCTGTTTAATGGAATGCACAAACACAGCAGCGTGCCATCAAAGATGGCGTCTCCGAGGAGGTCATGTGACATTCATTGGTCTGTGGGAACTATGTATACTGGGTTGGAGTCCATAAAACATTGCATAAGGTCTTCCAGGAGCCAATCTCTAATTTTGCATGTTTGTATTTGGGTTTGGCTCCAGCATTGGTTCGGAGGGGAGACGTCAGGCTGCTGCAGGCTCTTTTGGCTGCAAGTAAAAAATCTATCACTAGAAAATGGCTGAACTCAACACCACCATCAGAAGAGGACTGGTATCGGACGATTCTAGAAATATTCAACGGAAAATTTGACATTTGCTTTAAGGACACAAATGGATGCATTCTACGCAATTTGGGACAAATGGATCGTTTTTATTTCCCCCACCCAACATTAGTCATTTCCCCCACCCGTAATGACTAATGTTTACTGTAAAAACATGTTTTCTCTTTGTTTTAACAATGAAGAAATGGAAACTGTAATCCCCCATTGTTTTGTCCTGTTCCCTTTCATTTGTCTTTTTATTTTTATTGTTATTTTATTTTGTTGTTTGTTTTTGTTGTTTATATAAATTTACATTATTACTAAAATCTGAGAAAGATTACAAAACAATTGACGATGATACATTTTCATACATTTGATACATGTCATGTTGTGACCCTTAATAAAAATCTAAATATATAAAAAAAAAAAGAAACTGTTCCTAATTCAGAATCTTAGAATTCCACAATATGTTACACCTTTGTACTTGATTAGGAGCACTTACATGAATAATGCACATAGATACACATTATTCTACGCATAGATGCATTGTAATAATTGACTTTATTTCATGTGATGTATATGTGCCAGATTGACTTTACAATTGTACAATTGTAGTGACAGTGTTAAAATGTTGCAAATATGATTGCCTAATAACATCCTCATGACCATACCTCATAAATCCTAATCTTTTAATACTCCTAGTGAGAGATTCCACTCACCGTTAATGGGCACAGAGCCTGTTCTCAGCAGAGTGGAGTTGATGGAGAGGTGAGTGGGAGACGTGGTTCTGTCCAGCACCAAGGCATTCACTTACACAAACAAATCATTACTTGAAGGCCTTTCTACTAGGGAAATGAATCAGGGGATTAACATCATAATAATAATAATAATAAAAATGCAAGTCTGATGGAAATTAGACCCAAGCTATAACAATATTGTGACATTTTAAATTAATCAAAGAGAAAAATACACAATAATTTTGTGTATGTTTATTTTTTATTTTTTACAAGCCCTTATTGTGGGTGGAGTCTGGCGTGCTCCTGCTTGGTTGGAATGAAAATCTGCATCCATATAGGTAAGCGAATAAGTTCACTTGAGAAGATTAAAGTCCAACATAAAGCACATGGTTCTTTTTTGAGTAGTACAGTATATAAAACGTGATATACTGACAAAAAATTCAACCATCCATCCATTTTCTTCCCCTTAATCCATTTCTGGGTCAGGGGGGAGGCAGTCAGAGCTGCACCCAGTACACAGAGCACTAGCCCCTCAATGTTCCTCCTGCAGGTGGTGAGTCCACAGGAGCTGAGATCTTTCAGCGGGGGCTTTGAGCAAAGTGGGGTTAAGTGTCTTGCCCAAAGACACAACGACAGCAGTGGGAGTCGTGAAGTAGGTCTCGTGATGGGCTCGAACCCACGACCTTCAGGCTCAAAGGCCAATGCTCTACCAACTGAGCTACTGTCGCCCTGACAAAAAATCAGTTTCAAATATAATATTGTTTCAAATATCCATTGCTTGATTTATTGGTGAACAGGCATGTTCCTAATGTTCATGTCAAACCATGATACCACTGCTCTCAGCTCACACCTCTATAACAATCAATTGGGTTTTTTCTTCTATTTAGACACAAAAAGCTGTGTGCTTAAATACCTGTCGAAAGCAGAAAGCTTCCTGCTGAAACATGTCTGGTAACTAAGTACATAGTGTCTGAAACATTTATTTATCAAAGACGACATAACACTTTTTCTAAAAAAAAAATGGATTGATTGATGTTTACTTGGTGTGCTAATGGTAGAGGAGACAATCGAAGTTGAATGAGGAGCCGGTGAGGCCGAGGAGGAGGCTGCAGCTGGGCTGGGAGTGTCTATAAATAAAATGCATTACATTATTAGTAGTATTACCAATTTATTGAGGTGCATTGTTCATTATATAAATGTTGATACAGTGGTAGTCTCATATGGGTTAACATATTAAGCCTCTATCATCTCTATATTTAGTGCACATTGGAGATAGCCTTATGAATGATCAGATTCAGCACATTATTTGTAATTCATAAATCCTGAGGTGAGGAACTTGAGTTCTAGATTATTGTTCTTGAAGGGAAATTTGTCCTCTGCCCATCCTTCTTCTTATTAATTGTCCAAATTAATGCCCACAAGCTAATTGCAAAGTAGTAATTGAGATCATAAACCCAAGTTCCCAGCGACATCTAGCCAATCTCAGCTCTGCCAACATTGGCACTTAGACTTGTATGACGCAAAAACTAGCAAAATAGAACAAACATTGGCTGAAGGAAAAATAAACATTTGTTTTCACCATTTTACTAATTTCAATTGTAGGGAAATAATAATCTGGAGTTTAGGAATGGCTAAAGCCAGGATAGGACAGAAGTAGTGGTTGCCACAGTCCTTCACAGAGGACCCATTTCCAGAGGTTAATGCTTGGCTTGGTCACAATACAGTATATGTTTTGGGTTGATGAGAGAATCTGGAGAACAGAGGAATTCATGCAAGATTCAAACTGACAGACCTGGCCCTTCCAAGGAATTGAACCCACAGATTGTCCCTGTATCACCGATAAAGCGATAATAGATAACCATCTCCCTCTTGTCACAACATGTAGAAGAACTGCTAGTGTTCTTTGATACAAGTTGGAGCTGTCCTACAAAAATCTTGCTTGTGCTTTTAAACATCATTAATATGTCAACCAAATTCATGTCCCTCGAGAATTTCTCATAAAAAACAAATCTTCCCAGCTTTGTGTGGTAGTATAACACAGTCCAAGTTGTAAATTCATGAATCATGAATGTTGCACGTAACAGTGTTGTGAGGTAATACATAGTATCCTTGATACTCAATGGTTTCCAACGGTTCTAATGCTAAAGATGGACTTACTCATGCTGCTCTCTGTGAGTGCTGAGGTTAGCAGGGTGGCCCCTGAAACACACCAGGAGAAGTGAAACTCGATGGTTTTGACTAATAATAACATGATTAAACAGATGTACAAAAAAAAATATCATGGCATTTCCTTCCCATTTTTGCTTACAAATTCAGAACTATGTGGAGGGCCTTTTTTTCTCATCCTGACAACTGGACCCTCGATCTGTGGTCTGTGGTCTTACTTACTTGACTCTTTTCTCATCATCTCACAGCTGCTGCTTTTGCTAAAATGCGCTTACTTGTGCTTACACTGAGTCTTGTCCAACAAGTTAAATGAGGCCAATACATCTGTTCTCACTCAAACAATTGCTGTCATTCTTGTGTTAATCTTGCATGTGGAAATGTTCAGGACCAGTTTGTACAAGCTCACTGACATTTGTGTGTAAGATCTATGTTTCCATAGCTATTGAAGCAATGAGGTGAAAAGTTTAGAAGTGATGAGCATTACAGCAATATCTGAAAAAAAGTCTTTTGCATTTCTGAAGCAGGCTCTGCTTGTTCTGCTTTAGTGGGCAAAAACATCCACACATAGCTTAATTCTTGAACCCAAATCTGATCATTTGTACAACATGTGCGATCATTTCAAGATCTTTAAAGACAATAACTGATGTTTTGCATTGTGCACCACTGCTGGTGTAACGGCATAACAAGCAGAACAGAAGTAGCTGGGTTCCTACAATGATTATACAACTGAAATTACCTGTATTCTGTGGAGGAGAGAATGTGGAGGTCATTCCTGCATCTGTTTCTGTGCTCAATGACGACATTACATGTATACTTGGAGTAACAGCTGCACTCGGAGTCGCTGCCAAAAAAGAAAAATTGCATAACTGAAATGCATGAAATTCTCAGAGTAGTCATTTTTATCTCTTTATTACCAAAGGACACAAGCCCCAAAAGAAAAGCATTTATTTAACTGCCTGCTACCCGGTAAGTGAGCATGATTTCACATTTCCTCTGGTTCATTTTATTGTAATATTTTTTTGGAGCACTTGAGAGACAAGTTTGTGACAAGTGACAAGTTTGTCACTCAAGTCAATAATAGTCAAAATACTGGGTAATAATAGTTAGTTATTTTAAATGAATGAAAATAATATTATGACTAGATTAATAATAATACATTGCCCTAGAGCAGACTGTAGAAAGTGTGGCAACAACCAGTATGTGCTCCTTTGACCAAGTTTTTTGAGTTGTTCCTTGCCGATGCAGGATCTAGGGACAATGATGATGATCCAGAACATTTATGGACATCTTTAAACATTTATGGACATTGGTCGTCCGTCGCTTGAGGACCAATGGCTCTGTGTTATATAGCGTTACATTTTCTATGTTTGAACTCTGATCAGAGTTGGAAAACTTGATACTAGACAATGTGGGTGTGGTCTTGCCTAGTCCTACATCTTTGCGCAGAAAGAAATAACTAAATTAATCATTGTACAAAACACATTGAAGGCACCAATAAACAGTGAAATAAGTTTTTTTGTACTATAACAGTAAATGCATTGTGGGCTGCCTAACTTAAAACAGTATGCTGATGTTTTAAATGAGACACCACTGTATTTTAAATGTAATATTTAAGGAGCCAATGAAGTCTGAGTAGTTGTTGTGGTGAGATCTGATTGGTTCCTCACACTGTCAGTGAGCAGGTTCTGTGTAGCAGCAGTTCTGTGTGATGCGTGGTTGTTTACAAAGAGAAAAGAGAAAAGGATCCCTCAAAGTGTGAGTTCTGTGCTCAAAGCCCGAGGACAAAGACGTTTGCAGTCCATGTTATTGGAGTGAGAGAGATGTACTGACTACGGCTGTAAATATGTTTAGGTTCTGCAGGTTGGCCCACCCAACACTGGGTTCATTCAGGTTTTATGCTGTTTAAAGTTTAAATCTGTATTAGTGAATGCTAATGGAAAAACCATCATATTGTATATACGTAAAATAAATTATGTTAACTTAACCAGCGCCTCTCTGAATGATTTCTGCATATGGGTCATATAACCATTTTGTTTTTTTTATAAAATAAAAATGATAATCATCAAAATTAAAGCTTTTTTTTCACTTCAAAACAGTTTTATACTACATTTTCTATTGTTTGAATATCTAGTGTTCATGTCTGTAATAAGTTAAAATGACATTTATTGTTAAAACCCCTAATATGCAGCATTTTTTCTACTATCGTTTAGTCTGTGAAATATATTTAATGTTATATCCACTTTAATGTAATATAATGTAATTCATGTTTATACTAGCAATAGAGGCTTTGTAAAGTTTCATACATATATTAAGAGATCCCTCATTGGTCCCACAATGGGAAAATGTCAGTGTTACACCACCTGTTACAGAACAGTAGGCAGGAGGAGAACACAGCACAAGGTAAGTGAACAATAACTCTAAAATAAAATAAGCTCTCTAACTTTAGCAAAATAAATAGCAAGCATATATCTTCAACTAACTAATATTTATCCGTGTTTCAAATATTGTCTGATATATGTGCTATAGCACGTACTTCTGATTAGATGCTAAACTGCATTTCTTTTCATTGTAATGACATCAAAACTGAATCTGTAAAAAACAACAACAAAACAGTATAGTGCTGCTGGCGTGTATGTAAAGCAATACTTTAATATAGTTTGTCCATGTGTCCTGATAATACTATAGGTGTATTGATCATCTGGTGGGATACACGTTAAGTGTGTATTTTTTAACCAGTGGTATAAGGGAGGGAGAATAATGAGTACAATGATCAGCGGCAGAGTGAGGGAGAGCAGCAACACTACCAACACAAACACGTGTCAGGAAACTACACTACAAATGTTGGTCCAAGTATAAGTGATGGAAATAATACATTTGCAAAAATGTCTTCACAAACTGACTCTGTTGGTTTAAAAGTATGTTTAATAACAAATGTTATTCCGTTAAAACTACAAATGTAGCATGTTTAAGATTTATATTATTCTAAAAGAAAACATTCTTATTGAGAGTTTGTGCCACAGAGACAGGAAAAACAAGGTGAAAGCATTCGGAAGTTGATACAAATCACACTGCAAACGGTCTTCTAAAGTTCCACTAAAAATAAATTGATACTGTATAATTGTGAATTCTGAGTAATGGAGCTTTCGCGAAAGTTCACTGTGGTAGACCCGGCCGCTGCTGCCCAGCTCTACAGGCCTGCTCTCATCCTCGGCTCATCATACCAGTAACGCCCACATCCAGTCAACCAATAACCACCAGGACAGCAAGTTAAAAGCCGGAGACGCCCACTTGCCGGCCTTCTCAAATCTGCAAGCCTCCGCCGCCCCACTTCCTCCTTTTCTCATCGAAACGTGCTTGCCTACTGCCTCTGCCGCCACCAGGGCCTAGGCCCCGGGGGGAATTATGCGCGTGAGCAAGCGCCGCGCTCAGCAGCATCGCTCCTGGGCCTAGGGCGCCAAACATGCTTAATCAATAACTTCTAACTGCATTTCCCTTGTGGGTCTCTCCAAAGTGAAATGAAAGCCTGTGCTTCACACTGAATTTCACTTTTGCTGACTGACAGTTAAATTAATGTTTCAGAGATTATTTTCATTCAAACTAAAAATTAAGAGCAAAAGGCCGAGTGAGCTTTCAAAAAACAAACACCATTTCTCAAGTAGAAAAACAGTAGTTTTTGGGCGGAGCCCACCCAGGTCCTTGGAGACTGTTACGTTGCCAGTCTGAAAGCACTTACAGGATCCATCCATACTGTGATATTGATTACTTGCCTCACTTGCAACTGAGTCTCAACTCTGAGAGGCAACAACATGAGCTCTGAATGTGGGTTATTTATTGTGCTGAAAAATGTGTTTAACAAGTGAGTAATGAATCACTGCAGCCTCAAGGTTGGGCGGAATATAGTTATAAGTTACATCACACTCTGATATAGGACAAACATTTATCTACAAGAAAAATTAAATAAACCAGTCGTCTACATGAGACGTTTTGATATGAAACTTGTTATCTACCATTCTACTGTACACAACATGTTTTATATTTAATATTAGTATCTGGGTAATTAGAAATTAAAAAGATACAAGCATGTATAATTTTCTTGACTATTTTATTCTTTATTATTATTATTATTATCCTGATAGTATTCGGATCCTGATAGTATTCGGTTGCATATTGTCATCCTTTTAATTTTTGGGATTATCGAGCTTATGCATATTTTATCAGATTGTGTTACGACTCACAAAACACTATGATTAAGGAATATTTATCTCCCATTTGAATACCTCTGCTATCTAAATACAGCACAATTCGGGCGTTCTGCTCTCCCAAAATTCCATCCGATGGGCGGGGGAGCGACTGAATTTTGCGTTGCATTATGGGTAACACTTGCCTTCGCAACTTCCAGTTCTCTCTGCCCGGCGCATTTTCTCTAAATGGTTGAGTGTTTTCGTCATTTTCTGTATGCAAATACATTCCCGTCTCTAACTAGTGGCATATCGCGCAAATCATCCGTCCAATTCACATTCTTCCCTCTTAGCTGAACTTCATTCTCATTGTTACCATCTGTCACTCGCACACACAGCCGTTTTCGTTCACTCTGCTCGCTGTCATCTTCTTCTAAATCTTCATAAACACCATCCGCTCGTTGAACTAGCAACAACAATTCCTCCTTTCGTTTTCCCACACTGCAAATACCCTTTCGCTTCAACCTTTCACGCAATTCAGGCACTGTCAATCGCTTGTTGTTTTCGTGAGCCATATTCGCCATTGTATGAAATCAACCGGAAGTGAACTGGGCAACAAACGGTGTCATTTTTTGATCACAGCGCCGCTCAGTGGATGGAATTTTGGGAGAGCAGAACGCCCGAATTCCTCTAGGACCGATTTCCCCAAACAGCTTGAAATATGTGTGATATATATTTGCCTTTATTCACCAAATAGATTTAAAACTTACTAGGGCTTGTTGTTCTCTTAGGGGGATCCATGGGGTTTTCTGTGAAATAAAACAAGTACAATGTATCATTCAATTAAAGTAAGCGATTTTGTTAGCTTAGCCGTAGCACCAACTGGAAACCACTCCCCCCTCGGTCGGCACTAGATCATATACGGAATCGGGACGAAACCGGAAGTAACAATCCTACTTTCGAATTAGTTTTAGACTAAAAAGTCCTTAAATGGTGACTGGTTAAGTTTTAGGCGTCTGAGTAAGATGGTTATGGTTAGGGTTAAGGCTGGGTTGGGTTATTCTATGGGAATGGCTGGTTAAGTTTAGGCATGAATAGGTAGTTTGTTATGTTTACTTCTGCTTCCGTCCCAATTCCGTATATGATCTAGTGCTGACCCTCCCCCCTCCCCTCGCCTCTACACCAAACCAAACATCCAGCATTTCCTTTTCTTTGTCACAACAGGGAGAGTAGAGTGAGTTGCAAACATGAAATTGGTATTTCTGTTCAGCCCTTTCAGGTTTTAGAAAATACAATAACTCAGGTGCGCACACTCGCAAGAAACAGGAAGAAGGTGAAGGAGGTAAACGCACCCCATTGGTTCGTTGGGGATGAACAAATCCCATTGGTTTATTTTTATCGGTCCGCTCCGAAATATTTGTTATTAACTTTTGGAGACTAAAGGCATCTGGTGAATTCCATTTCCATTTACTATTTGTAAACACATGATAACTACTTTTAGGGTTTAGTGACGTTTTTCCAAAATATATTTTTTGAAATGCGTCTGGAAAAAAAACACTGAATGCATCTTTAATTCCCAGAAGCTAAACAATCTAAAATGTTTTAAGATCCACCTCTTCATTCCTTGTTTAGACTTAGTTTCACACTTTTCACTCATTGTGTACATTACAAAGTGCTCAAAATCAAGTGCATGTACTTTTGCAAAACTCTCTTCTTTGCTCAATGTAGCTGATCTGATCATATTTTTTGGGTCTCAGAATGACAGATCAGTGGTTCTCAACCAGGGGTTATGTGAACCCCTAGGGGTATGCAAGAGTATTACAGGGGGTACTTAAATTATTTTTAAGTAGTATTAATCTACAAACATTGATAATAATTATGAACATCAAATATTTGGTATTGTTAACATAAAACGCATACGGCAATTAATAATACAAATTGGGCTATCAGTTTACGATAATCCTTTCTTACTATGATACAATTTCAACAACAAATAGCACTCCATCTTATTTGATAGGTTTATACTTCTATTTTTAACACTAAAGTTGGTCAAATAGAGAATGTTGTAGTTAAGAAAACCAAGGAAATAACTCCTACATTACCTATGCATTTGAGTGAGGGAGATGACCACTTCATCTCCGTTGTGCATCGAATGAGATTGGAGGTACCAGCCTTCCTTACGTATCCATCAATACAAGTGTACCGAAAAACGTAATTGACTTTTGAGCAGTTCGTGGTGGAGGGCTTAGTCTGGTTCCACTGGGGGATTTCTCCACAAGGACAGATGGTGGCTACAAACAAAGACAAAAGAAAAAGACATAAATGATATATATTAGTAGTAAGGCTGGCTGTGATTGTGGTTATATGAATCCCAGATGAAGAAAATTAAATTAAGGAATTCATGTTTTATAGTAGGCCGTCGCAATTGAAATTATCTTCTCCTCTTCTTTTTGTTTTTATTTCGATTCCGCCCACACAAAAACACAGCCATAAATATAATCAGATCATAGGGCAACAAATTGGCAGAATCAACACATGAGCTGCTGAATTCGGGTCACTTTCTGAACAGCAAACAGGCTTCCCACAAACATCTCTCTACAGTTTTGCGTACATGTTTTCAAACACATATTTCTGTTATTAATATTTAATACGTCCCATTTGTAAATCCTCTTTGAGCGTGCAAAAAGGCGCTGTGTTGTATTATTATTATTGATTGATTTTTTGAGTTGTATTTTATGGAATGTCTACGCTCCACTCGTCTGTTTTAATAGTCACAGTCTATGGTTTCATTGTATAAAAAAATAAAAATAAAATCAATGTATTTGTTTGTTGATATTCACATGTGTGGGACATCTACCAACATCAACAAAACCATTATTGGAAATGTGTGTATTTTCACATAACCTCTTTCTTCACAATTTCATTGGCAGTTGAATACTTATCTTGTAGTTTGTTCACTATACATAATCAAAGGAAACTCACCGGTCCCCGAGGAGCAGGAGTATCCCAGAAGAAGGTAAACTACAAGGAAGATGAGTTTTACAACCCTGTAGTGTGCCAATAAGTCTGGATCCATTTGAATTGTACAAGGAGGACGAGTGAAGTCAAATCATTAGTAGTAGTCCGATCATTATTACGAGTGGAGCTCATCCTCGCTCAGTGATCCCGCAGTAAAACCACTTTCGCTTTCACTCCTACGCCACAGTTGCGTGAAGTAGAAGGGAAAAGGAGGAACACGTACTTCGTTTAGACAAATAATGTTTTAGCTATCAAATTTTCCCCTGTAATTTCGCTGTATCTGAAATGCAACCTCTCAATATATTTTTGTAGTAAAATAAAAACCATGATTAAAAAAAAAGAAGAAAGTCCTCCAAGCACTAGGTGGCGTGCGTGTCAGCACTACGGTTCAGTCGCTGAACGCTTGACAAGTGTTTTGGGAATTTCCGGTTTAAAAAATACTTGTCCTCAATAATAGCTATGTTCAAATCCACAATAAAATGTCAAAACCGTGAATAAGAGTTCCAATCTGGTTAGGATTAGGGTACGGTTGAGTTTAGAAACAGTTAATGTGGTTAATATCAGGGTAGCTTGCTGTGGGACGAAATACCAAGATTTTAGAGCGTGCCCCGCTCTACTGTATGTTGTTCTTTCACTGCACTTCCGCTCAGCACTGGAAAGAGCTGTAGCAAATGTGTTTACAACAAATACTCACTCTGTGGATCACTGCGCTCCGTTTCTAATATCGGTAGGTTCAAGAGGGAAACATAAATTACATAGCACAAGATGTGTGTGTAAATAACACCTCTCCATAGTTTTGTTCATTCAGAAGCGCATGCTAAAGCTACCCTAAGCTAATCTGAAGTATTATCCGATAGAATTTTATTTCAAAATTACTGTTTTATGTCTCTGCACGTTTAGTATACATACACACATGAAAATCTAAGTTGAATGATAAACTCGTGTAAGACCTATTCAGCAGCATCTGAATCAAGTCCGAATTAAAATCATGGTTTCCTGCAGCTTTCCTTGAGTGTTAGTGTTTTTTCCAGGATATCCCAAAAGTCATTCAACCCCAAAAAAATACGAAAACATAAATCGGTTGGAGCCAAATTTAATGCTGTTTTTGGACATGTATTTAATGCATGAGATTGAGGCACCCATTGTTGTCCGTTTAAGAGCCAATTGAATTAATGATTGTCAGCCATTTTTATATTCATTAATCAAAACAAAAATCAGTTTAGTCTGTATTATGCCAGTATTCTCCACACGCAGCCTTTACAAACACAAGAAGCCACCCTGGAGTTTAGCCTTCAACACATTTCTTGACAACAAATTTAATCGACTGTGGGGGTTTTTTTTCCCCTGAACTACATTAAAGGATTTCAAAAGTTCCTACGTATGACCAGACCAAAACTGGCTCTGTTTTGTGTATTGAGAGGTGTATTTCATGTGAGCACAGAATATCAATATGTACAATCAATCATGTATTTTTTTTGAGAATACTACTTTGTATGATTACATGAAGTGTCTTTTAATAGATTATTTATTTTATGCTGTATTTCTGTTGTTTTCAATAGTACAAAAACAATGTCGTTGTACGATGACCTCGGTGTTGGGGCAAGTGACACAAAAACGGAAGGATGGTCCAAGAACTTCAAACTGCTCCAGTCACAGCTCAAAGTAAAGAAAGCAACTCTTTCTCAGGCCAAAGTGAGTATATCAGAATAAGTATTTTAATTTGAATCTTACAAAGCGGCAGCATCATTATAGTACTAAATCAGAAATATTCTATTCTCCCTGCCAAAGTTTTTATATTGTTTATCCTGGAAAGGGTGCTGAACTTGACGCCATGAAAACAGAAACCCAAAAGATATACAGCCGTGGCACAAAGGCAACACAATGGCTGAGTGGGGAGCACTTATACAGCACATCAATAGGGCCACAGTTTTGGTCATGTTCCGGTGTTCTGTCGAGTTGGTCTGCCCGTCGAGATGATCTGGCTCAGCTGTTAATGATGTAATGCAAACCTGCGCATGCGCGTCTCACGGCAGCCGAAGCAATCCAAGATGGCGGGCATGTAGTCCGCAAATTGCTTTAAAAGTTTAATACAAACGAATTAAGACACGAATGTCACTTTTAATGCAATTTGAGGCGAGATGTTGATGGTTCCACGTTGTGATATGTGTGTTTTAAGAGTAAGAGTTTCGTGCAAAATTTGTTTTAAGCAGTCCACTGCTCCTGTGAAACTACACTGCTGCTGTGTGATCGCTGTCCCTGAGTTGACTGCTGCATACGTCAGGCCCATGACGCGTCCTGTGACTGGTCTGTCGGGTTGATAATGGAAAAAATAAATTACATTTTATGCATGTATCATACTGTATTCGATATGATTAATAATAGTGTGTTCAAACGAAATATTTAATTAGATTGAGTTTTTTCCCCATTCTGGCGGGTTGCTGCGCATGCGCAAGTCAGATTTGGGCACACGAGCAGTGTAGTTTCACAGGATCAGTGGACTGCTTAAAACAAACTTTACACGAAACTCTTACTCTTAAAACCGACATATCACAACGCGGAACCATCAACATCTTGCCTCAAATTGCATTAAAAGTGACATTCGTGTCTTAATTTGTTCGTATTTAACTTTTAGCAGCTTTGGCTGCCGTGAGACGCGCAGTGCTGGTTTGCATTACATCATTAACAGCTGAGACAGATCATCTCGACAGGCAGACCAACTCGACAGAACACCGGCGCACGCCTTTTTGTGGGTGCATGTTTCTTCTCGAGTCTGAGTGGGTTTGCTCTGGGCCCTTTGGTTTACTCCACCATCCAAAACACCCACCATGTCTGACCAAGATGAGCAACAACATCTGACAGGTTGCCCAAGTGGTATTGAAAAATGGGTCAAATGCAGAGAACAAAAGTAGTCACAGGCTCAATTAAAGATTTCCTTAAAGGTATATAGATTTTCTACTTACGAGTGGATCATCAAGACTAATCGTCAATCATTCTGGTGATACATGCTCGTCAAACAAGACCATAGTTTTTTTCAAAAAGTGGAGAGGGTGGTTCTTACCTATAATTCTGTAAAATTCTCCCATACATTTATACCTGTAACACTATTCTTCATAGATGAACCCCATCTATTAAATAATAAGATTTAGCCTTTCCTGGCAAGACTTTCATTTTCAAGAAACAACCAGGTGATGAACCCAGACTGGAACTAAATGATGCACCTAAATGTTCTGTGTGTTACCAGTCACAGCGAACAAAGCAAACCACTGTGCTTGCTCCAGTCATCGACCTGAAGAGAGGAGGTTCCAGTGACGATCGGCAGATTCTAGACAGTGGTCCACATGCAGTTGGAGGACTTAAGGTTCATGTGACTTCACATAGATTGATTCTAGAGAGAAACATAATAATTTTCACCATGTACACAATGCAATTTACACAGCCCTTCATTAATGGTTTGTTTACATTTCCAGGATCCCGCCTCCTCCCCCTTCTCGTCAGGGGACGTGTTGATTCCTTTGGCGGATGAGTATGATCCAATGTTTCCAAATGACTACGACAAAGTGATGAAACAGCAGAAAGAAGAACGACTGAAACAGAAAGAGCAACAGGATAGACTTAAGGAGATGGAGGAGAGAGACAAGTACCATCAACTTTCTATTTGCATACTGTTTCTGTTTCTTTGCAATTTCATGCTGAAATTGGTCAATAAGCATGTAATAAGATATTTTTATGGCATCAGTATGTTTTAATATATAGTTAATATGGGCTTATTGCAGAAAGAGGAAGGACAGACATGACATTGGTGGTCCGCCGAGTGGATTTTCTAGATTTCCAGCTGCAGAGGGCGACTCAGATGAGGATGATGATGGATATGAGAGGAGGAAACGGAGTAAGTAAAAAGCATCCCGTGATTTGACGATTAAGGGGCGAGCAAAAACAGGAGTTTGGCACAATTTAGACAGTTGCTTATGTTTGGGTTAGGTGGAGAAGGTTAAAATGCTACTCACTAGGGATGTAAATCGGTGACCGTTTAACCGGTGGTTGACCGTCACAGCGTTAACCGGTCAAAGCTGTCGGTTGAAAAAAAGAAAAAGGGGAGATCTCTTCATAACGCTATTTTAAACACTATTTGCGCATTGTGACGAGCGGGTCTGTCTCTAGCTGTGTGCGCCAATGTATTAGTAAACTCCGGGCCGACTTTCGTGCCGCACGCACCGCACATGCACACACACATGCACACACACACACACATACACATTTCCCTCCCTCCATTGATACGTAACATCCACACGCATCATCTCTCCCCTCTGTTACTAGTCCGCCAAAGTTGTACACTAGTGCGGGTCAGAACTACATTGGAGCTTACATTTACACATACACATACACATACATGTATTGTACACACACACATACTGGTCTTTCGCGCTCCTCTGTGTCACGCAGCCCAAAGGATCCTCGCAAATAAGCGGCTCCAGTCAAACCACATGGAACATGTTTGTGCTGCTAATCCTTGGCATTAGATCAGCTCCACACACATCACTTGTATTTAAACTTTAGAGAAGACCTGACCTCTCTGACCATGTGAACGAGCCGTCTTTTGCTGCTAAAAAGCTTTAAGCCGCAGCACAGAAGAATAGGAAGATTAAAAAAGCAGTTCTCTGTGCGCAAAGGTGCCGAAAGTTGTTGCGGGTTTTGGTGCCGCTGTCTCAGCTCTGATCCATTAGAACGCATAGCTGCACTTATGAGAAGTACGCGGATCGAAATGGCTGTTATTTTAAAGAACGTAGAATATTTTAAACTATGCGGTTAACTGGTTTCAACCGGGTAATGAGGCACGGTGGTCGGTCATGTAAATTCATAGTTTTTTACATCCCTACTACACACAAGTGACATTACTTTGCATAATGACAAATGACAGCGTAACAAGAGTGAAGAGCTCTTACTATTAAAGTGTGGGCTTTTGTATATACTGCTCTTTCCTTCAAGTTGGTCGAGACAATTTAGGCGCCTGAGTTTTTTCAAGAATAGATACAATTCTGATATCAAGATTTTGAAAGGCTATTACTTTAAAATGGTTTGAGATGAAGGCATAGTGTAAATGAGAAATATCTTTAGTATGAACACAAATTTGGGATGTGAGTTGATTCGTCCTCTAATTTGCATATTATGACGCCATCAAGGTGGCGGCCGTATTAGAAAATGTCAATTTTCATATAAACATTTTAAAAAGCTGTAGTTTGACAGTGGTTTTAGATAAGGTAACACTAGGATCAAAAACATAGTGCCTAAAGCAGACTTGGAGATTCTTATCCATGCATTTGTCTCCAGTAGGTTAGACTACTGCAATGGCCTGCTCACAGGTCTGTCCAAACAGGCTGTAAAACAGCTGCAGTACATTCAAAATGCAGCAGCTCGAGTCCTGACTAGAACCAGGAAGTACGACCACATTAGTCCAGTCCTCAGGTCCCTGCACTGGCTTCCTGTGGCTCAGAGAATAGACTTTAAAACAGCTCTGCTTGTGTACAAGTCTCTCCATGGCCTCGCACCAAAATATATTAGTGACATGTTAGTCCCATATGAACCAGCCCGGACTCTGAGGAGCACAGGGACTGGACTCCTGTTAGTGCCCAGAGTCAGAACTAAACTTGGGGAGGCTGCTTTTCAGATTCATGCTGCTAAAATCTGGAACAATCTTCCTGAAGATGTGAGACAGGCCTCCTCTCTGACAATGTTTAAAACCAGATTAAAGACAGTTCTGTTTAGCTGTGCATACAACTGAGGGATTTTATATTTTTATCTTTCTTTTTAATGTTCTGTGATTATTTATGATTTTAATGCGATCTTGTTTTGTTCGGCACTTTGAGTTGCCTTGTGTATGAATTGTGCTATATAAACAAACTTGCCTTGCCTTGCCTATACGATCCGTGTGAAATATCTTTAGTATATAACGAAATTTGGGATAAATATACAAGTTTATGTAATCTTTTAGCGCACATACAACTTTTTCACTGTTATATATTTTTATTTAAATTGTAGGTATGGGTGGAGCTGCCATTGCCCCTCCTTCGTCCCTTATTGACAGAGAAGGTAGGTTTGATAATCAAGGGAAAGACAAAATATTTTTTATCATTTATGAAGTTATGGTATGAAACAAAGTTTGTTTGTGTTCAGGCCCCCCTTCGTTTTCTTACGATGATGAAAGTCGTCCGTCCCGCACTGCAAAAGCGGCTATTCCTCCTCCAATGTATGACGACTCTGAACGCCCGCGATCTCCTCCTGGACCCACCAGCTCCTTTTTGGCTAATATGGGGTGAGTGAAGTAGGAAAAAAACGTATAACCTTTTAGGGAGTGTTCACAATTGTCGGCCTGGTTCACTTTAACTGGAGTTTCAAAAGATAGAGCTGTATGTGCACTTATGTCTACTGTTGTTGTGTCCTTGGCAAGACACTTAACCTCTGGGAACACCAGGTGCCACAGTGGGGCAGGTGTAAAATGCCAAACTGCCGTTGTGTCTTTAGGCAAGACACTTCACTTACATTGTCTAGACTCTAGAATGAGTGTGGCGTGTGTGTGAATGGTTGGTTTTGATCGGAGCCGAGAGGCTGATGCCACATACTGCTTGCCTCACTTTTGTCAGTGTGCCCCAGAACAGCTGTGGTTACAGTAGTAGTTTATCACCCCTGTGTATCGAGTTAATGAATGTCATGTGTAGGCCTGTCGCAATAGTCAATAAATAAATTAATCGCATGATAATTAAAATAAGCTCAATAATTTTTCTGGCCGCAATAATTTCCATTTGCAGGCTTGTTTGTTTTCCTCGTCTCTCTCTCTCGGGTCAGAGAGCCGCAAAGTGGTCATGGGAACATTAGCGGTCTAGCGAGCAGACTGAAATAACTCAAAAATACAAAATAAAGCCAAAGCAGGACCTAAACCAGGACTAAACCAGAACTTAACCAGGATTGACAATGGGGAACACAGTAGTTGTGAACATATGCCAGCCTGAGTTCTCAGTCAGGCTCTAGTAGTGACTAAACTAGCGCAGCTGGCATTAGCGTGCCGATGCGGAAGTACCGCTTAATAATAAAATAAACTTATGGCGCACCTCCGTGAACACATACTGCTGTTAGATAAAGTCTCTGGAAGGTCTCTGGACAAAGAGACGCTGCAGAGCTGCATTATTGGAGAAGAACTTTACACAAAAAGCCGCTAACTTAAAGTAGTACTAGAATTTAATATGCTGCTATCCAGAATATATAACTACAATATGTGTCTGTTATATTTCGGGTGTTCATTTTGACATGTTCAGATGAAGTATGTTTTTATAATTCCTATTATATTAGGCGTTGAAGCGGCACCTTTTCACTTCCGCATAGAAACGCTAGGGGGCGCCAAAATGGCAGCGATGACATAGGAGACGGACATCTCACAGCAGCAGCAGCAGTCTGGGCTGAATCTGTAGGAGGTTTCACTGTCATCTGAACAAGGTATAAACATATTTTCATCAGTTTTGTACATAATAGTGTGCAACTCTTTTAACCTTTTAGCCTTATTTGTGAGATTCAAGATAATTAGTGTTGGGCAAGTTAGCTAACTCTACTTGATATCATAAAACATGCTAACAAGGCTAATATTCGTTTTTACATTATGCCAGTCTCACTTTGGATGCCTTAGATTTATTTACCACAATGTACATTGTAATATCCATAAATGCTAATCAAAATAACTTGAATTAAATAAATATTTTACTTTTATGAACAAAAAGCTGCAGAAGTTGAAAACATAGACTACATGTGACGCAATCATTGATAAAAATGCTAATTAAACCGTTAATAGGTGTTAGCATTTATGGATATTACAATGTACATTGTGGTAAATAAATCTAAGGCAACCAAAGACTGGCATAATGTAAAAATGAATATTAGCATTGTTAGCATGTTTTATGATATCAAGTAGAGTTAGCTAACTTGCCCAACACTAATTAGCTTGAATCTCACAAATAAGGCTAAAAGGTTGAAAGAGTTGCACACTATTGTGCAAAACTGATGTAAATATGTTTATACCTAGTTCAGATGACAGTGAAACCTCCTACAGTTTCAGCCCAGACTGCTGCTGCTGCTGTGAGAGGTCATTCTCCTACGTCATCGCCGCCATTTTGGCGCCCCCTAGCGTTTGTTAAAAGGTGCCACTTCAAAGCCGTTTTTTTAACATAATTCATCTGAACATGTCAAAATGAACACCCAAAATATTATAAACACATATTGTAGTTATATATTCTGGATAGCAGCATATTAAATTCTAGTACTCTTTAATTCCGTTAGCATCAAAGCCCGCCTGCTACTTCTGCCACATCCAGCGGTGGTCTTTAAAAATAAAAGTATAATTCTCTTTGAAAAGGTGTACCTGCATCATTATCATTGAATTAGATGAAAATTATCTCAGAACGACAATATTATCGCTTATCGCAATAATTTCTGAGACAATTAATTGTCCAGTAAAATTTGGTATCGTGACAGGCCTAGACATGCTTTGAGTGTCCAAAAAAGCGCTATATAGAACCGATGCATAATTATAAACATAATGATAATTTATTATTATAATATTCACTTGTTTGGGGGTCTCATATCTTCACAAAAAGAAGAAAGAATTTGTGCCCCAAGTGAACCCTGACTTGGTCCAGTTGTGTCAGATTTATTATACTCATGCGGCTGAACCTTGGTGAAAGTGCATCCTAGACGCACAAAGTCTGCATCGAAGCATCAGCGTCTAGTTCTGCAGACTTGTCCAGGGGATGATACCCTGGCTTGTAAAACTGTTTTGACTGGATTCGGCCAGTTCTGTGCTTTAAAATGATATCATGCTGCTCATATTTATTCACATTTAACCGAAGTGAATTTTACTGAATGTCAAATGTTTACCATCCAACCAGCTACATTAGAGCTATAGATATAATTTCAAAAAATATTAATTTGAAAACGGGGCGACAGTAGCTCAGTTGGTAGAGCATTGGCCTTAAGGCCCGAAGGTTGTGGGTTCAATTCCCACCTCTACACCTTCTCCACCGACTCCCACTGATGACTGCTGTCGTTGTGTCCTTGGGCAAGACACTTAACCCCACTTTGCCCTAAGCCCCCATTGAAAGATCAAGGCTATGCTCACACTCAGAGCGCAGCCGTCCTCCTGTGGACTCACCACCTGCAGAGGGTCAGTGAGGGGCTGGTGCTATGAGACTTGGGTGTCATCTCTGACTGCCACCCCCCTGACCCAGAAATGGATTAAAGGGTAGAAAATGGATGGATGGATGGATTAATTTGAAAACTACAATCGGTTTTGTTTCACTTTACCCTTTCTAGTGGCACTGTGGCTCACAAGATCATGCAAAAGTATGGTTTCAAAGAGGGACAGGGCCTGGGCAAACATGAGCAGGGTCTGAGCACAGCACTGTCTGTGGAGAAGACAAGTAAACGAGGAGGCAAGATCATCATCGGAGATGCAGCTGAAAAAGGTACAACTGCCCATTTTGTTAAAACAAATTCAGTTCTTATGATTATAAATGTGTGTTCATTACACTATTTGTCAATGAGCTGGGAGATTTGGCATAGCAAGAATCATTATGCAATATTCAGAATTGTTTATGACTATAAACAATACTGTGTTCATGATTTAAAACTCTTTATTAAAGTTTTATTAAAGTACACAGTATATAGCTGTAGGCACAATATAATGTGTTATATCCCGATACTAATCTATGGTAATAGTTTAATGAGGCGATCATGATGATATTTTGTTTGCCCTTTTTCTAGAGTCTCACTAGTGAGCAGGACTTTCTGGCCCCAAACACATGTAATAGATATATTGCATGTATTTGGGACCAGAAAGGTCCCAGTATATATAAAAAAACATGAATACAATTTTAGAATTTCTATTACATTTTTTTAAATAAATGGATGAAGGATTATATACCGTGGTTTATCCTTGCAAATCTATTGTGCCGTTTACACGGAGATGCTGCAACAGTAATTCATTAGAGTTTGGTATCGAATTGGCCTTTCGTTTACACAAAGGCAGTGTTTCAGGAGGGTGAAGAAGCTAGCGTTGAGAAACGGCCTCCAGAACACATACGCTGTGCGGCAGGGGGCTGTCTCACAGCAGTGTGACAAAAAAGGTGTGAATTCTCTGCTAGACTGACCTCCCCACTTCCCAGCACGTACATTTGTACCATAGACTGTATATATTAACGGACAGAGTCACGCCTATCTCCGCCGTTCTAACTAATGGGCCAAAAAATGTGCTCTACTGGAGCTATCCAAAATGGCCGCGAGTGGTCCCGCCCACAAGAAAATTGTGAAAAAACGCATCTGCGCATGCGTCAGCCGGCGCAGCTCCATTCATTTGAACGAGAGACTTCAAAAATTCACAGCAAGTAAACTAGAGTGGACCAAAAAATCCACCCCCCTCAGCATTGACACACATGTGGAACGGAGCTTTGGGCCAAGAGCCAACTTTTGGACCATCCTGTAAAGACGTTTTCGAGAGGTCTGCTAGTGCTATATGTTAGCATTGGCTAATTCTACTTCTGTGTCCACTCCCATCGGCCCGGGGTGGTATGGCAAGCATGTCAGCGCACGTCATTTTGGCCACTTTTGAGCCAAAACCTGCCCACACTGATTTGGACATGTGCATTAGCTGAGGACAAACGTAAACAACAATGATGACGGATCAACTAATGCTACGTGTGCTTAGAGCGCTACATGGAGGAGAATACTACTCCTTTGTCCCTCCAAACGAAACTGCATGACGCCTACTGTTAAATGCAGAATGATGTTGCCGCATTCTTTCACCTCTTTACGCTGCCGTGAGGAGGATGTTGTGCGTACCTTGTTGTAAAGTTCCACTGCCCCCTACTGACCGGGCGCTTGAACCTCATCGTTTTCCATCGCACCTCGAATACGGAGCCTGGTCGTTTTTTTGCAAATTGCTTTGCAGCGTCTCCGTCTATACGGGGCCTCGATTTTCTTTTCTTTCCTCGATTTGCCCCTATTAGGCATCCCCCAATCAGAATAATAAATGTAGCCTGTATGTATTGTGAATAAATCTTTTTTTGCCTCAATTATTATTATTTCTTTTTAAATAGAGAAAAAGATCCAAACCACTCAAATTAAATCTTATGAAAGTTATTTTGATATATTTCAACATCTCCCGGCCTCATTGTTTTGAATCATGTTATTGTTTATCTGGTATGTGTGCATGTCTGTGTATTTCTTTATTGCGATTGTGAGCAGCTGGCTCCAGTTTGGCAGCCGACACTTCGCCATTTGCAGGTTCGACTTCTATGTGATTTTGTGTGCGTGTGTTTGCATGTTCATTTTTATCACGCTGTAAAACGGAAAATTAAACGATATAATTTTTACCTCTGTGGAATCTTAACATGTATAATAAACCCCCCTCACACACACAAATGAGAGGAAGGTGAAAAACAAATTTTTTCTAACCCTTTTTTTTCAGACATTAAAGGTTTGAATGTTTTTTGCTTACACAATGTAATTTGGAAAGTCAAGTATTCTTTCTGAAAGAAAGTACTAATCAATGAACTCAATAAGCTCGGTAAAGTATGTCAACGTTACTTTATAATTTTGTGTAATATCTAGATCAATATTCCTTCCTCCCACTAATGAGAAGGAAGTCTTTTATGAAAATAAAAAAAAATTGAGAATAAAATATCAAGTGATAAAAATTATATTAGATGTTATTAAATGTTTTCAACTCTAAAAAATAAATGGGAAAAAAGTTGTACCAATTTTCAAATCAGAATAATTATTGTCCTGCCTAGTTTTCAAAAACCTAGTTTTTTTACCCAAGTTTGGTTTCATTGAATGGCTTGATTTAATGTCTGATAGTCAGTACGGGTTTAGGAATGATGTATCACTTAACTCCTTTCAGTGGATGAAATTACACATTATATAGAAAAAAACATTATGTATTAGAAATTGTTATAGATCTCCATAAAGCTTTTGACAAATACATAAACACACAATTATGAACTAACTTTGGCCCATTGATTAGTATTTTCCTTTGTGTAAAATGCTTGGCTTTTCAAATTACATTTTCTAAGCAAGAAACGTTCAAATTCTTAATTTCTGAAAAAACCAAAAGAAAACAAGTTTTGCTGTATAACCACTAGATGTCCTCACAGAGCTATACAGGGAGCATATGCACAAGGATTCAAAAGAATTGAAACAGTCAGGATGCCTCAGTTGAAATATTCAATATTAGCTCTTTGACCAAAATCATTTGCTTTTACTTTGAATAGTTATTAAGTTTGTTTGACCAGTATCCAACCAGTTTTCAACTAAGTAACCAGGACCTGGGCTCTAAAAAGGTGACAATTTTATGACATCGTGAAAAAGATTGCTCAGCGTTATTTTAGACACAGGAAACAATGTGCTGAGTCATAACATATGTCAGGTCATACAATGACAACACTACAACCAGACTTATTCACAGTGAAGATGTTGATTGGCCTTTACATAGAGCTGCTCTGAACCAAGACTACATCAGAAATGAACCACAACTGAAAGGACTGTTCTCATGCCTGAACCAGGACACAAAAGACTTGGAATTATGTGCTCAACAAAACGAGAAATTTAATTACATAAATCACCAAAGTACTATGGCTGCACGATTCATCAAAAAAATATAATTTTTGCGATATTGTTGTGTGCGATATCCATATTGAAAAGATGCACAATTACTTTTTAATTATGTACATATATATATATATATATATATATATATATATAAATTTATATATATAATTTTTTTTCCCTTAATTAAAGACAACAAAACGGACAGACACATCATCATCTAGTCATTACTCACCGGATCCAATTGGCCAACTATTGTCTATAAAGTTGTAGAACAAATAATTAAAAATACCTGAATTACTGGCATTAAGAGTTAATGTAACACATGTGTTTCTTTCAGCTGCTGTGCTAGACGCCTCCAAAAAGTCTGATGCAAATCCACTCACAGAGATCCTCAAAAATCCAACAAAAGTGGTGCTCCTCAGAGTAAGTTTTTTTTTTTAAGATATGGAATCCCAACAGTTCTGACTTGGACACATGGAATTATAACTTCTTATTTTGGATGGCTCCAAACTATTTGGACAAAAAAGGGTCCTCAGTTGATCCATGACATGATGTTTTTATTTCTTCCTTATTCAACTTAAGCAGATAAATTATCTGGAATTAATTTCAATTGTATTCGTTTGTATTGTAAATCGGTTCCTGTCACTAGGGTATCTCACTAGCAAGCTGCCATTAGGCTGAAAATCTGCAAATATAGGTGGTGCTTTGGCCTCAAAAGTGTGGTCCAGTCTTCTAGAAATCTTCTGTGAATGTGATAGAGGCATGCATAGTGCCAGTAGGGGGCGTGGTCTCAGTAGCCATGCAGTATTCAGTGGGTCAGCACTAGCTCATATACGGAATCGGGACGGAAGCAGAAGTAAATATAACCAACTACCTATTCATGCCTAAACTTAACCAGCCATTCCCATAAAATAACCCCAACCCACCCTTAACCCTAACCATAACCATCTTACTCAGACGGCTAAAATTTAACCAGTCACCACTTAAGGACTTATTAGTCTAAAACTAATTCGAAAGTGCGATTGTTACTTCCGCTTTCGTCCCGATTCCTTATATGATCTAGTGCCGACCGTATTCGGTGTGCCATGTGCCTGTGATAGAGGAATGTCATGGATATTCAAGTGTATTTGAATGGCATCTTGTTGCCATTCAACAAGGCTTGGTGTCAAGGCTCCTGTGGACTCACCACCTGCAGGAGGATCAGTGAGGGGCTGGTCCTATGTAAATTAAGTGCAGCTCTGATTGCCAACCCCCACCCAGAAATGGATTAAGGGGAAGAAAATGGATGGATGGATCTTGTTGTTTTAGTCAAGTGCCCCATGAAGAGATAGCCTGACCTTAGCTATCCGTAAACTCTGTTCAATTATTTCCCTGCATGTACCATCTGGGTCTAGTCCCAGTGTCTGCCATTACATTGGTTGAATCCCATCCAACCAATCCAGAGTGCGGGAGGCGGGTGTTGTAGGTAGTTGTGGGTGACGCCAAGAATTTGCGCTAAATTGGCAGGTTGTAGTTTGGCAATGGCAAAGAATGCTATGGTAAAGTAATCCGGTCTGGTTCTATCAAGAAATTGAAGCCGGAGCAAGAGGAATGTTTAGCAAATGTAATTGCTGGTATAAATTGTGGAGCTACTCCCCACTAGTTCTTCCTGGTAATTCCTGTTAATTCCTTTAAATTCCCATGTAAAGTTTCTGTCTTTGATCAGTTGTAGGTTTCCAGGAATTTCCAATCAGGTCTCTTTCCCCAAATTTGGGTACATAATGTTGCTGCTCCTGATCTGCTCTTGGTTGTTCTTTTGTTGCTACCAAACATATACATACCATCGTATACATTTAGCTCCAAATTCCTGCTCGTAAAGGTTGTTTTAGCTCTAATCGTCTTCCTCTGCAATAAGGCAAACACCATGACATCAGCACCGGGTTAGTCCACTACTTCAAAGGTCTGTGCTTTTGGTGCATGTCTAGAATAGATCTATGACTTAAGTTGCGTAAGGCCTGCATTAACCTGATTGTGGTGGTGTGTTTTTCAGAACATGGTGGGCCCTGGTGAGGTGGATGAAGACCTGGAGGAGGAGACAAAAGAGGAGTGTGAAAAATATGGCAAAGTGTACAAGTGTGTCATATTTGAGGTGAGTTTGTTGGATCATTGAGAGCATATAAATACATTTGGTCATATACAGAAACCTCACACTTTTATTCCCTCCTCCCTCAGATTGCTGAGGTGCCAGATGATGAAGCAGTCAGGATATTCCTAGAATTTGAAAGAGTGGAGTCAGCCATTAAAGGTTAGTCATGGTTTAAAAAAAAAAGAAAGTACTAAATCCTCTGAAATGGTCAAAGATGACAAAGAAGTGTGTAATCTTGAAATTATTTCATAAAAGGTTTTTGGATTAATGAATCAACATGTTTGTCTCATAACCTGTACGACAAATTTTTCTACTCAAAATAACAACGATGAGATTGCTTTGAAAAGGGTGTGGATGAAGAAAACCAATTATTTTAGTATATACAATATTGTTGTAATAATTCTAGAAAATGACCACTGCAGGCCTTTATATCTATTTTTCACTTGTCACTAGTTTGCACCATGAGCCAAAGTACATTCCTAGTTTGTGACTTTCCTGTTACTTAAAATCAGTTCATGTTTTAATTTTATGCTGTCTTTTTTTCCTCCACAATGTTTCTATAAACTTCAAAACAATGTTCTTTAAACTTTACACAATTGGCATCATTTTTGCCTTGCGTAATCGCTCCACAAACTTATTTATAATGGTGATGTTATGAAATGATTTGTCCCAGATCAGAAAGTAGGTGAAAGTGAGCTCTCTGAAGGATTACATCAGCCGTGTCCCATCAACCTACCACCGCGCCCCCAATCAAAGAAGCAAAACGTCAAGGCATTTGACGTTTGCCTTGACGTGGAGTAGATCTGTTGATCTACTCCACTTATTTCCTGTTATCTCGTTCACTTTCTATTCTTTGAAATTTGGCCTGAAACTCTAAACTGTTATAGCAGCTGCCACCTTCCTTCATTTAAAAGACACAAAGCTTTAAATTTTATTAAACTGCGTCAACTTTTTAAAAAATCCCATTGCAACTAAAACTTTCCAAATAAGAGATCAAATGTTTACATACACTGGTGATTCTGGGCTCATAAGCTGAAAAACGCTTGTATTATCATTTATATTCGCTATGTATTTATGATATTTGGTAACATAGAATGAAGTATTTTTCCTTACCCACAACAACCCTCAGATTTTATGGCTTTGTGGAAGTTTTGAGAAATAATTAAACATAATAAATGGACTGTGGTTCTTCCCATCAATGATTAACCCTTTGCTCTTCAATCTTCTTTAAAGTGTTATCATTGAAATCAGCAATATACATCATTTTACTACACCATTTTGAATTGTCTGAATTTATGCCCCCCCTTAATCTCATATCCTCATAGATGTATCATCCTGAATTAGAAATTCTTTACCAGTACCTTTCTTTTTTAGTAATTTATAACAATCTGTGCTTGTCTCGATGAATCTACACATTTTCTGACTTTCACCAGCTTTACATTCTGTGTTGTTATTTTTGTCAATATTAAATGGGATGATTAATTTAGCCTTTTTATATCTCCTCAGCTGTGGTGGACCTGAACGGGCGGTATTTTGGGGGTCGAGTAGTTAAAGCCTGCTTCTATAATTTGGATAAATTTCGAGTTTTGAATCTTGGTGAACAAGTCTGATCTATGCTCTACATCTTCACCTGTCATGTAAATATTTGTTTTTATAGTTGATTTATGAAGTTATGTCTTTCATGTGACCAGTGTCTTGTCTTTCAAAACATTTCATGACACCAAATAAAAGTTATAAATAGTATTGCGCTTTTCTATGAGTCATTGGTTGTTGTATTATTGACCTTGACTTTTGTGTTCTGGAATATTCACAGGACAGTGAGCAGAGAGCCAGGCCTTTTTGAAGCCTTATGCAACTGAAGTGTGTCCTGGGGGAGCGGTGAAGGATGTCAAGAGTGGTCCCACTAGAGCAGGTTAAATTCAGATTGAGACAAATGTTGGATAAGACACAACAGAGGCCCATTGCACAGGCTAATTGATATCTTAGGCCAGCAGACAAGGGAGAGAGAGCACAATGCACTCATTACATGTATCTTTAAGAGTTTATAAGGTAACGCCAAACGCTGCATGACTGCGAAGGGCAACAAACAGCCTCTGCTCTATCCCCTAGGTCAGGGATGTTAAAGTCAAATACATTAGAGGGCCAAAAAAGGCTTTGTCAGTAATTTAATGCGAAAACAATTTTTAACAGGCTCACAGACAAAACAAATTTCAAGAGAAAACTTATGTCCTGAACCTTAAATGAATAATCCAATATTTTCTTATGGCTCTGTGCGGGCCGCTTCTAATATTAATCAATTGTCATCCTTAGGGCCAAGATAATTTATTGGCTTTGACTTTGACACCCATGCCCTAGGTGATGGAACTAATATTGTAAAATTGCAGTGCATATGGTCTGAGACTGTGTGCCTCCATTATGGCATGCTTTACCATTGAAAAAACAACATTCATATGACCACCGTGCTTTCAGTTTAACTGATCAAGGTTCTGCAGGTCACTTGAGGCCACACTTTTAGAAGATGTGAAGTGATTGTGAGCCCCGAGGTGCTACGTGTATACTGTAATCGTATTAGCACAGAATTGGGAGTGTTTCTCATCGCCACAGCAACACGGCCACCATGGCTCTCAACTTTTTTGATTGTCAAAATTAGGGGAAAAAAAGTTTTGTGGCTCCACTGCGGCACTGTGGCTGAGTGGATAGCACTCTCGCTTCTCAGCAAGAAGGTCCTGGGTTCGAAATAGGGCCTTTCTGAGTGGATTTTGCATGTTCTCCCCGTGTCTGCGTAGGTTTCCTCCAGGTGCTCAGGTTTCCCCTACCACTAAGAACATGCACAATAGGTATGAATGTAAATGAGAGAGTGAATGGATGGTGTTGATTGGGGGCTGATGCGCCAGTGTGTTCGGCGACTCGCTTCCGTCATCACCGTGTGTGGAATGACTGGAACGATATCTGAACTCTGAACATTGTAAAGCGCTTTGGATGACCTTGTGCTTTATAAATAAACATTACTTACTGCTCATACACTACTTGAGCAGAACCAATCATATTTCTGTGGCTCACTTAATAGTTTTTTTGAACAGTTTTACAATTAAATTTTACAGGTATATATATAATTTCAAGAAACATAGCTCAAAAGTACCAGTCTGAAGCAAAAAGCTTATATGTGCCTTCCCCAACACTACATTTAAGCGACTGCAAACAGATGCAGATTTTCACATGACAATCCTGATTTTAACCATTATCATTTTCTTCTTGTTGATGTGAACAAAAAAGGTGGTCAATTTAAATTTATTGCAATAGTAAGTGTAAATTTTTTTAAATATTATGACGGCTGGTGATCCGTGGTCCATACCACGTCTACCCTGCAGCCATGACACAATATCTTTGTGAAGATACTTCCTCAAATTGACCTCAGTGTGGAACATTTTTACTTAAAAGGCTACATGTGTTTCAGGAGAGTCATAGTGATACCAGAAAGGGCTGTTGTGGCTGCAGCTTTTAATCCCCATCAAGCAGGAGCACCCCAGACTCAACGCATTTCTTCAAATCTTCTAGTTAAGACTGGACTCATTTGAGGAAATGGGTGGAGTCTGGTGTGCTCCTGATTGATTGGGATTAAAACCTGCAGCCACACCCGACCTCTTGAGGGTTAGACACTCCTCGATGTTGATGTAGAGCAATTTGTAGCCCCGTCAGTGAAGCAACCAATGCCTAGACGTTTTTCATAGTATCATAAATTGTTGATTTTCATTTTTCCATCTTCGATTAAAATGTATGGACTTCTGGTTTGTCAGGGGACGTGAGCTTAACTTAATTTGTCTTGTGTTGACAAATGAGTTCAGAATTGTACAGCTCAATGTAAATCAACATTTAGAATCCCGTCTTTAAAAACATTATTTTTTAATGTAAGGTGTACGTTTGGGAGATTTTCACATTTTACCATTTTCTCAAAATATTGAATGTCTCTCATCGACAGGGCATCGTGGTAAAATAAGTACTGAGTCTTATTGACTTTTTCATACAATTTCAAAAATGTTGAAGATAAAAATAAAATGGATTGCCCTCTGTAGGTGTCAAAATTTGCAAAAAAGAACAATAAACACGCTTCAATTAATTGAAGAAAGAATACCTTTCTCCTATAATTACTATTGTCAGATCTGTTGTGTTTTCTTTAAATGATGTTAAAAAAATGTTTCAGGCAATTATTCTGCTTGACAAATCATTGACAATTTCAAGTATTTTGTTTATCTTTGGTCCCCTTTTTTGGATTGAATACTTAAATAATTGCCAGCTTTGAGATTTGTAAGTTGCGACCACAGGGATTGCAATTTCCATTGATTGCTAGCAATTGTGCAGTCCTACTCCCTACCCACGAACCTTTAAGATCATTTTGGTTTTGGAAATTAAGTATTTTTTCTTAAGATATATTTAAATACTAAAAAATAGAATTATTAATGGGTAAACTTGTGCCATATAATGTTCAAATATTTATGTCAAATCATGCCATATCCAAATGGGCAGATGACTGGTCCTGCAGAAACTTGGCCTTGGATAAATGTATGTAGTGGTTAACTTGAGTGTGTGCGGCTGTGCTTTCTGCAGGTGATGGTCAGTGCATGCTCTGAACGTGAGCAGTGGAGATAGGGTTGTGATTGGCTGGTGGCAGCTTGTTAAGACTGCGACCTAAATACCTGGAGTAGAGACATGAGACGAGGTTGAGGAGGGGGTCGTGAAACCATGGGATGGCCTGGTTTCATCTGCCGAGGCCTGGTTGGTCTGGTTCAAGTTAACTGGTCCAAGTACGGTTAATTTGGGGAAATAATATTCACAGATCCGTTACAAAAGATGTAAAGTAACTTAACGCTGGGGTACTTATCTTTGAAATCCCACAAACATTATTTTGGCCTCTGTCAAATCTTTGAATCAGCGTTTTTAGACAGAACAGTGAAAAAGAGTGGCCCAACCTTGAGAACCATATTGTTATATCAAGTCAAATGGCATTGACGACAATGTAGTTTCCCTATCACATTTTCTCTTTGCTCAACGTGTCAAACTTGCTTAAAATCCTAAATAAACAAATACTATAATTCTTTGTCAAGCATTTAAGAAATCACAAGATTTGCTGGGGTCATATTGCAGCAAGAATTTGACTAGTTATTGTAATATTACAGAAAGTTGTGAAAGAGTTGAATTGTAAGAACAGGGACAGAGATTTTTACTCACATTTATCAAGAGATGCTTTGAGTGAATGTTTTTGTGACAGTCAAATAGAACCCAAAACTTTGTTACAGCTCCTCTTTGCTTTAACATGTATTGATGTTACATTTACATATCAGTTATAATGACAGTGAACATCCAATAACAAATAGTGGGACAGGGCAGTATCTTCAGGCAGTGCAGTTTGCAAGGCAAGCGTATTTGTATAGCACAAAAGAAAATGACAAAAGATGCAGAGGGTCTGGGATCATGTTACAGCAGAAGACATTTTATTGTTAGTAAAAAGACACGACCAAAGACTTTCAGTGTGCACAATATGTTAAACCAGCTTCTCTGCCACGATGCTAATAGATATTTTAGCTTCGCCCACCAGATATCCAAAACATAATGTGGAAAATCACTGACTTTGCAGACTGTTGTTACGATAACCTCAGTTTTAACATAGATGCATCAAAGGTGTCATAAAAGATCCATACAACTCGTACTAAATATAAAATAAAGAAAATAATCAGGGTGAATGATTTTTGTTTGCCCTAACTGGTTCACTTGAAGTCCAAACCTTTTAGTAAAAGGGCCACATTCGTTAACCAGGCTTGTTCAAGGGCCAACCACCCCTATTGTAAAACTCTTGACTGGATTCAGGCTCTTCTGAGCTTTATAATTAGCCCTAAATGGTTACCTCAATCAAAAACAAGTCAATATGGCTGAATTCCGGAGGTTCTGAGCTTTACAAAGAGGTTTACCATGTCAAGGGTCTTCAGTACATGCCTGACTTAAAGTGAACTCTGGTTCACTTGGGACTCAAGTGGAAACACATCGAATTAGACTAATGAATGTTTTACTGTTTATGTCCATCAGAATCAATCAGGATTTTTGAGGAAGATCATCTTAGTTTTGGAACAATCCAATATCTGATTACATTGATTTTGTGAAAAAAAAATGTGTTATTAATCAAATATATTAACTGATTTGTTTTAGGCCAAACACATAATTTGAATATGGCGTGTTTTAATTGTATTTATTTATTCTATTCTGTTCAACTCATTTTTACAATAACTGATCATTTAATTTGAGTTCCTTTAATTACTTTTTTCTATGAGTTTTAGTGCTAATTGTTGGGTTCAATAATGAAAACAAATTGAATGATATGGGCATGTCCTTGCTTTACAATTATGTATAACGTGCAATGTTTGCCCATACAATCTCTAGTCAACAAAGAGAATAGAAGTACCTCTTTATCAATGCTTCGACTACACGTTTGGAGTGAGACAGATGGTTTGTTCGTAGATGTGTGTAAAATGAGCTGGTTGTTTAAAACAGCTGTTGGCTGTGTATAAAGTATCTGTTGCCAATGCCACACCACCGGAGGCCACGTGTGCCATGTCATCTATTTATTATCACTATAGTAGAACGGCGTCATGACTTTGTGCTGACGCAGTTTCTGAGCAAATCCAATGTTTTCTTAAGTGCAAAATGGTTCTGGTTGAGCACATGCTGTGACTTTCCCATGTTTAAGAACCATGGTGCACGGGTAGGTTGCACGGCGGTTGAATGCGCGTAATGTAAGTATTCACATTACAGCATAGTTCTACTAATAGTGGGTGGCAAATCACAGTCTGTCGTTTGCATTACTACCGTGGACAGATGGGTCTGGAGAGTGAAATACAATGCTATATATGCATATAATTAGCATAATAACAAATGGAATCACCCTAACAACCACATGTCACATCCCCCATAAAGCCTACCACCAGCATCCACTCTGATGTCCAGGGTGGAGATGTGCGCTCTGGCACGTATCTCCTCTTTTCACCAGGTGGTGTCTGCAGCGGCATGTCAATTGACCCACTCTGAAGAGATGGATGGTCTTAAAAGACTACCCTTAAGTAAATACATACAATGCATTGCCGAATAAATTATATTTGTTTTGTTCTGTTGCCGAGTGCAGGCCTGTTTGGTTTCCCCAGCGGCATCCTACTTCAAGGAGTTCTTATTTGGCCTCAACCTGTGGACATCTAAACAATAGGCCTAAACCCCTAGATTTACAAAAACAATCTCAATTTAGCCCTAATATCAACCTAATGTGTGCACACAAAAATTCACGGCAAAATTGATTTAGGCCACCGAATATTAAAAGTGCGTTTCTGACAGTGCCTTGTACCTATGGGACGCGTTGGCTTGTTCCACAAGGAGGCGCTTTGGGAAACGAGTCCCGTGACCAGTCGTGAGTAGGCAGGGATATTATTACAGACAGAGCCACGGCATGGATGGGAAGCCTATTTGCTCGGTGCCTCTCACGTGGTGTCCCAAGCGGGCGGGCGGAGCCACGCTGCGGGCGGGCGGATGTGAGAGGCGCACCGGCTTCATAAACGCGCTGGAAGCAGGACACGGCACAGACAGCTTTGACGAGAAGAACACACGTGTAAGCGTATTTCACGTTCTTTTTTTTTAACTAGATTTGAGGGCTATCTCTTTAGGCTATATATCTCCAGTCCCAAGGAATGCCCAGAGAGCTGACCCAGAACAGAATCCAGAAGATATGGATTCCTTCTAAAGATGACAAGCCGGCTCCATGGAGAGGTAAGCCCGATTTGCTCGGCACGTTTCGCTTTCATATGAAGTTAATAGATTTACATCATGCTGCGCACCTGCTTGAGGAGCAGTTCTTGGGTGGGTTGACCCGTGGGTAAAGTGGGGGCGGGCTGCACGCAGGGGCTGCACGTTCTTCACGGGTTTCCTGCTGCCGCGTGACGAGCAGCCGGGAGCCGTCTCCATGGTGACGAGACCGGTGTGCGCTGTCCTGCGATTGGACAGTGACATGGTACCACTCGGATGCAGAAGGAATAAAATAACGAATAGAAAATAAACCTTTACATTTTCCACAGACTGAATTATGTTAACTCCTATTACTTAGTCAAAATACGTTTTTTTTTTGTTTCCAAGTTTCAGTTGGAGGGCATACCAATACAACTATTCATCCCACAATAGTGATTCTGTTCTAATAATCTAGTGATTAGATTAACAAACCTGCCATATTCTTATGTCTGAAAGTAATGAGAAAAATAATGAACCTCGTAACCGTTTCAGTTTCATTGAGAAGATTTTTTTCTGATGCCCTCCACCACAATTTTAAACTATAGGCATTTTGGATTGCAATCTATTGCAAGTCAATGTATTTAAATATCTATACAGAGTACTAGTCTTTTATCTATAAGACATAAAATCATCATGATTACAGTTTAAATGGAAATATTCTGACGGTCAGTATACCTTTACAATGGTGTGGCTTACGCCCATCTCTTAAAGTTTGAATTATTATTTTAAAAAGTGTCACCTTTGCTACTCACATGCATTTGTATTGGCTGCTCACTCTCTAGTATGAGCAATTTAATTGCCCTATAGATGCCCTACTAATATATAAGACTTCTTTTAGCTATAACACAATGCACCCATGGGCTTGCATTTTCAGTCATGTATTATAAAGGCTGTCTTTGTTTGTTAGTAATATTATTCATGCTTTGTTTAGTTTTTTATATACAACAAATTGGGTTGAACAAGGGTACAATAAAATAATCTGTCTGCTAAAATGCCAATGATGTTTAGGAGTTGGAAATATTCCGTGTTCCAATATATAGGTTTGTGCCTATTGTATATCCAATTAATGACTTCATTCTAACGTCTCATTATTGTGCTAAAATAAAATATTGGTTAAATTTTGTCAGATAGTTTTTTATTATGTTATTATTTCCTTTTCCAAATTAAATTATTGGCAATATTCACACAAGCTCTCCAATCAGCCCCTGACTGTTTGGGATAATGTTTACTTTTGAATAATTGTAGGAAGTGAATGAAGTTGTAAAGTAAGAATTTTACCATATTACTAAATGGGCTCTCAATTCAGGACACTTTCAGCAACCTTGTCTCCAACAAATATTTCCCATTTTTATGTTTTTGTCTTACGGTTAAGGGTTTGAAGTACTCAATCCCTTAATTTTTTTCAAAACCCCACCTTTTGTCTGTCTTGCATCACATTTCTGAAAAGCACCAAAAGGGTTAAATGTTGGACTAAATGTCAAACTATACCCATTGAATGCTGATGGGGTTTTTTATAATGATAAAGTTTATATGTTTATATCTATAAAAAAAAATTATTCATTACCTCTATAAAGTAAATCAAACTAGGTTCCTGTATCTTTGAGTCTTCTCAGTCTGACACGAGGGCTAGAGATTATTAGTAGGTCAGGCATGCTCTGAGGTGGCAGTAATGGCTGTGTCTGGCAGCTGTAAAAATAGCCATGTTCTGCGAACCAATGTGAAGAGTTGTATACCACAAAAACGAGAGGAAAAGGGCACTTTTAGTAACCTTTAAGCCAGAGGGATGTTGACTCAACCAGGAAAATACTTTGACTTGTATGTAAATGAACTGCAAATGCAGTGGCGCAAAGTATTGCTCCCCCTCCACTATTTTATTGTTGCTGTTTTACTTTGTGAAATGTTAATAATAGAATTTCATCTTTGCTTCTTAAAGGAGCTGGTGCTCCACACTTTGCCAACCCCCCCACGGTGATAGTGATGGTGGGCTTACCTGCTCGAGGGAAGACCTACGTATCCAAAAAACTCACCCGCTACCTCAACTGGATTGGCATGCCCACCAAAGGTAAGAACTAAAGTGACTTCAACTTAAATGCATTTAATTACATTTAAAAATGTAATCTGATATATAATATATATATATATATATATATAATATATATATATATATATTAATATATATATATATATATATATATATATATATATATAATATATATATATATTAATTATATTAATATATATATATATATATTATTATATATATATATATATATATATATATTATATATATATATATATATATATATATAATATATATATATATATATATATATATATATATATATATATACATAAGTTGTGGTTATCACTGAAATATTTAATTTTTCTATTCCAATGTTAAATTATGCTAATGAATTGTCCTTTCTGTGTAAAGTCTTTAATGTGGGGGAGTATCGCAGGGAGGCGGTCAAAAACTATAGCTCCTTTGACTTCTTCAAACCTGATAATGATTGTGCCGTCAAAATCAGACAGTAAGCTAAACACACAACCAAACACGTTTTCTATGCAACACTATAGTTTTTTAAATAATTAACATTAAATTGTTTACGCCCAGACAATGTGCCTTAGCAGCTCTGCGAGATGTCAAGTCTTACCTAAAGGATGAAGGAGGGCAAGTTGCGGTAAGATCACCCGTTTTATAATGCCTTGTGATCATTTTGCTGATGTTTGCCTACATGACTCTCCGTCCTAATAGGTTTTTGATGCCACAAACACGACTCGGGAAAGACGCGACCTTATCCTGAAATTTGGCAGCGAGAACCGGTTCAAGGTAAATCTAACTTTGATCTTAGAAGGAATTGAATGTTGGTGTGCTGAGCTGTTCACTCTTCTATCCAGATATTCTTCATTGAGTCTGTTTGTGACGACCCAAGTGTGATTGCCTCTAACATTATGGTGAGATAAACTTTCCTTGTGGAAATTTGTTACAAATATTTGATAAGGAAAATTGGAAATAAATTTTGTCCATTTGGTGCAGGAAGTGAAAGTGTCTTGTCCTGACTATAAGGACTGCAACAAGACTGACGCCATGTTGGATTTCCAGAGGAGAATTGAGTGCTACAAATCGAGCTACCAGCCACTCGAGCCTGACGGATATGACAGGTGCTTTTTGAATAGTTACAAAACTAAAATGCACTTTAATGTGTTCATATGTTGTTCTTAGAGTTGTATTTTTAACCTTATATGGATATGTGTCTGAAAAGAGCTATAATGATAAACAGTATTGCTGTAGGTGAGCGAGTAAACCATGGTCTTAGCAGGTGGTCATTTCTAAAGTACAAGCAGTTTTAAAATGTGCATGAAAACTAATACAGTTCATGCTGTTTAGATAACTCAATCTTGCATTACTACTCAAACAATTTAAAATCCTCCTAAATACTTTTAAAACACATATCAGCACGGTGGCTGAGTGGATAGCACTCTCGCTTCTCAGCAAGAAGGTCACGGGGTCAAATAATGGTCAGAACAGGGCCTTTCTGAGTGGAGTTTGCATGTTCTCTCCGTGTATGAGTACGTTTTCCCCTACCGCAATAGGTGCATATAGGAAAATCTTGAAGTGACGCCGTTGTTGATTGATTTTCTGCGCCAGTCATGAAAAAACAGCATAGAAAGCTACCTGGATGCTAGAGAGTTAGCTAGTTTTAGACGTTTGGAGAGAGGTTTTACTAAATCGAATGGTCCATTCTTGTTGTGTCTTGTGCTGGGGACAGATTTTTTTTTTTTTCTAATTCTTTCGTAAAAGAACAGCGAAAAATGGCCGCGGTAAACTGGTCTGCAAATTAAAAGTGGGTTACCCTTTTATGCTGTTACCTACTGCATTAAACGTAGAAAGGGATGCCGGGGGGATAAGGGGATAAAATCTAGTTTTGCAACTACTTTCACTGCACACTTGTTCACTGTGATGATGAATTTCATACGCTGCATTTTGGTTGCTCATCCCCGCGCCTTCCTTTTCCACGTTTAACGTATGTAACAGCATAAAGGAGCATTCAATTTTAATGTGCGGACCACTTTACTTTAGACAGAGGCGAGTCTGATCAATGTTTGTCGTCATCCCAGGTCTCATATGGGCTTTGGATTTGTTCTGTTCGGTCTCATATATTTATTTTTTGCTTGTCTTTATATCTCCTCTGATCTTCTTGTGTTAAAGTGCTTATATACAGTGCTATTCGCCCACTGAGTCTTTTAAAAGTAGTCGTTGCATCCATGTTCAGTATGTGCCGCTCTGTCTTCTTGCCACCCGGCGAGGGGCGCACGCGGATGTAAACAAAGATCCTCCTATAGGTCACACCCTTTATAAAAAATAGGAATGAGTGAGTGGATTGATGGTGTTGATAGGGGGCTTGAGCTCCTCATTCAGGACACTTTCAGCAACCTTGCTTCCAACAAATGTTTCCCTTAATTTTTATGTTTTTGTCTTGCGGTTAAGGGTTTTAAGTACTCAATCCCTTATGTTTCAAGTGTGCGCCAGTGTGTTCGGGGACTCGCTTCCGTCATCACCGTGTCTAATCTCTGAACAATTGTAAAGCGCTTTGGTTGACCTTGGTCTGTAAAATGCGCTGTATAAATAAATCTTACTACTTACTTGTGTGTGTTAAATGTATATAGGAGGATTTTCCAAAATTTTAGGAAAGAACCACCCTCTCCACTTTTTGAACAAAACTCTCTGGTTTTATTTGACTAGCACATACCACCAGAATGATTGATAATTGGGAGGACCAATAGTCGATGATCCACCCGGAAGTAGAAAATCCTCCTATGTACCTTTAACATTTTCGCACAAACCAGGGGTTCTGTCGCACAAAGAAAAGACATCAGTTATATATATTTTAAAAACACACTTTTGTCACTTCAACCCATTTTTATTTTTAAAAAAAATCTGTTTTTTTTTCAGGGAGATGTCTTTCATTCGCATTATTGATGTTGGTCGTCAGTTCCTTGTGAATCGCATCCAGGACCACATTCAGAGTAAGATTGTGTATTACCTGATGAACATCCACGTTCAGCCCAGGACCATTTATCTGTGTCGTCACGGGGAGAGCCAGGACAACCTGCGCGGGGCCCTGGGGGGAGACTCCGGGCTGTCTGCACACGGCCGACAGGTGGGCTCTTCAGTATTTCTGCTTATTGAAGATGTCTCTTAGTTTCTTGTAGTTGGACAACTCATGGATGTATTATAGGGACCACTATGAATGAGACATTTCGGCTAACCTTGTGCTGCTTACATGCCAAGTGGCCAGTCTAAAGGACCCATTTAGTTTTGTATTTTATTTATTTTGTTTCGTAGACAAGTCATTGTACCTCAAGTTTTGTCACATTCAAATTGTTTTAGAGATTTTATTTTTTTCTTTGTAAAAAGTTCCACTAGTTTCCTCTTATCTTTATGATCGTCTTCCCTCATAAATTGTGTGATTATGTTTTTTGATTTTTTTTTTTCTTGATTATATTTATTTAGGCTATTACCATGGTTTGTTTCAAGAATATGCTACTGTCTGTCTGTTTCTGAAAACTCCAGTTGTCTTTTATTAGATTATATGCTATCCATTCCACCCTTTTTATTCAGACACTTTTTTTGTGGTCACACTTCCAGTTTATAAACAGACATGGGGATTTTCTTGCTTTCTTTGCCTTTAAGATGTAATATTTTGTGTCTAGTTCTCCCTGGCACTATCCCAGTTTGTGAAAGAGCAGGAGCTGAAGAATCTGAAGGTTTGGACCAGTCAGTTGTGCCGCACCATTCAAACAGCAGAGCACCTGGGCCTCCCATACGAGCAGTGGAAGGCCCTCAATGAGATCGATGCTGTGAGTATGAACCAAAACCTTTATCTTTGCAAAGAAACTGTTATCACGATTGCTTTTGTGCCGTTAGGGTGTGTGTGAGGATATGACTTATGATGAGGTGAAGGAGAAGTTCCCGGAGGAATTCGTCTTGAGAGATGAAGATAAATATTATTACCGCTACCCAGCCGGAGAGGTGCGTACATACATATTTTCATTTTTGGAATCAACAGTGTACTTAACTAAAGTAAATTAGCAGATAATTACTGCCTTTCCTACTCTCCTGTTCTCCTATCAAAGCCAAAGGACAAACATTAAAACTGTATTTTGAAACCTATGCCAATAATTAGTAATTAACTTGTTCTCAGAACTACTCTTGGTAGTCTTTATAGAATTGTAAGAATTGTAGAATTGTTTTGTACCACTCAAAACAAGTATTTTTCCGTAAATATTTTTTTTGAGTGCTTCCTTTATCCCTATTGATTTTATAACCTTATGCTGCAAGATTCATTTTGCTAACAAAAACTTTTCTTGATCATCCACACATTTTGGAAATATTTTCTGACATTGTGTGGGTTTGGCTTATTAAATCTTATTATCATTAATGTCAACTTATTTGTCTGTGTGATGAACAGTCGTACCAGGACCTAGTACAGCGCGTGGAGCCCGTCATCATGGAGCTGGAAAGGCAGGAGAATGTTCTGGTCGTCTGCCATCAGGCGGTGATGAGATGTCTGCTTGCTTACTTCCTCGACAAAAGTGCAGGTAATAGAATTAAATGAAGTAATCACAGATCTGAAGTGTATTTTCTACTTTGACATTCAAACACCACGTTAATGAACAGATTTCAAAGCCATAAAATGTAAAGGGAAACAAAGCTATGATCTTAATTTAGGAAACATCAAATCTATGGATAAAATCTGATTTTATTGTTGCTAACTGGATTCCTGCGTCCGCCAGATGAGATGCCATATCTGAAGTGTCCACTGCACACAGTCTTGAAGCTCACTCCTGTGGCCTACGGTTGTAAAGTAGAGTCCATTTTTCTGAATGTAGAGGCGGTCAACACTCACAGAGACAGACCAGAGGTAAAAACAAAAACATGTATTATTAACTCCATATTCCACCATACTCCACCAAAATATAATAGTATGGAATACATAATACATAGAATTGACAAGTTATCATCCAATGGAAGATCAGACACATTTACGTTTAACAAAACATGGTTAAATCATGATACTTGAACAAAGTACCGTTATGTGTGCTTTCATGATGTTTTCTTCTTGCAGGAGGTGAAGAGGGGTCCCGGGACCTTGCAGAGGAGGAACAGTGTGACCCCATTGACCAGTCCAGAGTCCAACATTAAAAAACCTCGTATTGATGATCTGGATGAAGCCCCCATCCAGGAGCTGCCTCCGTCTGTGGCCTCTCTGGCCCTTTGCAGCCCCTCTCATCTCCCCCTGGCACTGGCTGGACAGGTTGGTCTGACCTCTAAGATGGGAAAAAACTGTAAGGGGTCAATTAAAAAAAATAATCAAATAATCAAATGGGCGTTTAACTAGTCTTGATGACCAATATATCAAAACCTAAGTGAACTTTTCCGTTGTAGTTTTTAGGATCTTTTCTTTCTGCTTTTATAACCATTTTCAAACTTCATTTTTTCACTAATCCTGCTCTTTTTCTTTGTCACTCATTTTCTCTGTGTTGCCACTGACAGCACTGGTTGGGCAAAGTCTGTCTGTAAGTATTCATAATTTACATTTTAAGCCTTTATGCACTGCATCCCATTAGCCTTGACTTTCTTGTTCAAATTGGGTCATACACTACATATTGTGATGTACAATCAAGAAGGGAGGAGCAGTAACATCTGAATCAATAACTTTACATGTACTTTGAATTGGCGGAAACGGGCATTTCTATTCCCCCCATATCAGCAGAGGCTCCACTTCCGTGCCCCTAAATGGCTATGTTGTTTTGAAGCCCTTCCCCATTTCCTGGCAATGAGCAGGGGAAACTGGAAACGTTAGTACATACAGTATTTGTATTTGCAGAGTTCAAATTCCGGTCATTCCTTTCTGCCTTGAGACGTACTTCATCACGTGTGGCTTATTCATGCTGTCTGTGTCTGTCTTGGCTCTTGTCCCCTCTTGTATTTCTTTGTATTCATGTTTTTCTCATCTTTTGTGCTGCTAAAGACGTGCCATTCTTCACTATCTCAAAGTGGTGTCACTCTTAGTCTTCCAAAGGTAAAAGAATTGTCAAGTAGATAAAATAGTTCCTCAATAGGCAAGTGGTTGTCTGTCTGTAATGGATGTACTTCAAAGACTTAAACAATTACTCCTTTACTGCAATGATCAAATGTATGTGCACATATTTAAACTTTTGATTATACTGTACATACGTTGACCAGATCTAGAACCCCTTTGCGTATTACTTACACCTTGTCTATTTACTCAGCTCAGCCGAAAGTAAAAAATGGCTCTATTAAGTAGTTAAATTGGTTGAGGTAAAAAAGCTGGCCTTACTGGTTTTTGTTGGAATTATTAATTAAATAATGCACAAAAAATAATGAATCTGTCCTGTCTCTGTGCCACGTCTGCTGGCTCAGCGGAAAAGCTTGTGGGGCTGAATGTGCTAACAGCGTCTTAGCGTCATTCATAATCACTAAAGGATTAACCTTCTCTGTTCCCACGCTGTCAGGCAAAGATAAAAATACCACTGTGAAAACTGTCCTGAAGCAGGTGACATAACCTGTGCTCAGGCTTCAGTTACTGTTTATATTTATCTGACTAAATCGTTGTGTCCAAGAACTCTGGATAACACGCAGCAGAGACACCCCCCTGGCATCAGTGTAGTGTGTGGCTACTCAAATTAGAAATGTTACTTTTTTTATACAGAGTTTTAAGGTTTTTCATTCTTTGTTTTCCAGAAGCTGAGAAGAGACTGGTCATCGTGAAGTTTCTCAAATCTGCAAATCAAACCATCTTTTTTCATACAAGACTAAAGACCAGTCTTACCGTTATCAAGTTACTCTTTTTCACAAGAGGGTTAAATATCCACAATCACAATGATCTTTTTATTATATTAATATTGGTCATCTCTTATTTATTTTTGCGATGTTTGTGTCTTCTCACTTAAAATAATTGTTTTTCAATCAGTGACAGGGTATGACTTGTGCATGGGTACATGCGCACACAGATTTCAACTCTCATTTCCTCCCATTTCTAATGGAATTATAAATTACATTTATGGATACTTACTTTAACTCAGTAATTTATGTTCTCCAAAAAGTGTTTATTTTGCACATTTGTTGTGTGTACATTGTCACGAGTTACTAATTGTTTTATTCAAGTTTTTGCCAAATGGTGCCTGTAGAGCCTGGTCTGCAAGCCTAACGCTGCTTCACTTGCAATTTAACCCAGTTCTCATCACATTACTTGTACGACAATGAAACTTCACTTTTCATTCAGATTGTGCTAATATATTTTTTGTATTGTTAGTCAAGTATAGATTTACGTTTTTAATTGTTTTGCTGCCACTGCGACACACAAAGTCTTATTTTTGTTACAAACGGCGTGCTGATAATAATACTGAAGTGATACACTACACTGGGAGGTAAAAGAATGGAAAATTGTTGATTTGTCTTTTTGTATTTTTGTGTCGACATTGAAAGCAAGATGTTCTGTTGACAAAGCTTGAAATACTTGAACATGCTTTTGTAAAAACAAATATATTTATTAAGGATGGAAGCTTCTTGTTGAACTCTTACAAATACGTTTTACATGTTTTTTGCATCTAATGGACCAATTAAAAACTCCAAAGAATGCCAACTGTTGTTTCAAGTTTTTTGTTGTTTTATCATTTTTTTCATTTGTTGTTGTATACAGAAACACAAAAATATAACTTCCTATAAGATGCTACAAACTTTAAGCCACATGCAGCAATGAGACAATAACATTTGATTTTTCAAGGGCCAAATGGCAGTAGTTTTACAATCTGGAGCTTTTGAATCATTCTTGAGGTTAACCATTTTATACAGTCCTTTGGGGAAAAAAAATCAAATCACCCACTATGTATCGTATGGTTGTGAGTTTCTTAGTGGTGTCAATGAATCAATGAATAATTTACTTATTTCCTTATAGCAGCCTCTTGTGTAATGGCTCTGCTTGAGTCACACGAACACCTGCTCAGAAATTACCTCTTAAAATGAAGTAAAAGTGGCCAACCAACTCACCAGCATCACAAGACATTGTTTTCAACACTCTGTGAATGCACCAGAATGGCTCAAGGCTGGTTTTCATCCCTTGTTTTTTATGGAGAAGAACTAAGGATAAAACAACAAAAGATAGACATTATTTTGAAATGCTCACTTTTAATACAGCAGATTGATTGATTGTTATTTATTTGAGAATTTTACAAACATATTTTTCATTGTTACAAGGTTACACTGTTATAAAGTGGCTCAAAAGGAGTAGGCTGAAGCAAGAAAGCTTATTAGTGCCCACCCCCTGTTCCCAGTGATCACTTTAAGCTGCAGACAATAACCGTGAACACAGGCATCATACAGTTTACATACAATAAACACGAGTTCCTGAGTTACCCAGGCACGTGCACATCAGAAGGTGCATGGGCCTGTTTACTTACAAGCAATTAGTGAATGATCATTTCCATACATAGGCACACCCAAGGCTCTGTGGATGTGCTCATCCATGATCACAATCAATTCTACGATTACAGTTGTCCACATTAACCAAACACACGTCAGCATTGATTAGAAAAGCATTCATGATTATACAATATATCACAGGTTTTTCACACGACTTCCAAGGTAAAATAATCATTATTATATTATATATATATATATTATTATATATTATTTCTTCTGCATTAATTGAATCTAGTGCGCCTTTTTGTAAATACAGAAAGAAAGGCCAAATAAGACCTGGTTGGAACTCTCATGTGGCTACTTCCCATGCTGAAGCCCGTGACGCTTGTAAGGCCTGGGCGACTGCAGGAAAACCCAGACAGGGACCTTTGTTTGAGCATAAAAAACGTACAAATGCACAATATAAGTACGCCATTCGATTCCTATGTAAAAATGAGAAAACAATACGGGCTGACTCCATGGCCAATAAGCTTTTAAATAATGACACCAAGGCCTTCTGGAAGCAGGTTAAGGGTATAAATAATAGCAAACCCTGTCTACCTCACACTGTAGATGGAGTCACTGGGTCCCACTCTATTGTAGAACTGTGGAGAAAACATTATTTTAAACTGTTTAACTGTGTCTCAAGTGAACCGTACACTGTCAACAATGTTGACTTTGTGGATTCAATTAAAGTGCATGAGGTACAACAAGCTATTAATATGCTATCAAATAATAAATCCACAGGAATGGATCATATATGTGCTGAGCATCTTAAATATGCTAGTATGAGGTTGGCCCCTCTTCTGGCCATATGCTTCTCTACCTTTGTTGTACATGGTTTTATCCCAGACTCAATGATGTCTGTGTTATTGGTTCCTGTGATAAAAGACAAAACGGGGAAAGTGGGCAACTCTGATAATTACAGACCAATCGCCCTGGCAAATATACTGTCAAAAACATTTGAGCAAATCCTTGTGAGCAGACTCAGTGTTTACATTGGCTCCACGGACAATCAATTTGGCTTCAAAGCCCATCATGGCACTGACATGTGTATTTATGCTTTAAAAGAATTGTTAAGTAAATATAAGTGTAGACAATCCACTGTTTTTATGTGTTTTTTAGATGCCTCCAAGGCTTTTGATCGTGTTAGCCATGCCAAATTGTTTCACAAACTATGTCAAGCCAATGTTCCTAAATATGTAGTTCGTTGCCTGTCTTACTGGTATGCCCATCAGACTCTGGAGGTCAAATGGGATAACTGTGTATCTGCACCCTTTCAGGTCAGCAATGGTGTGAGACAAGGGAGTTTGTTTTTTTTATTTAATTTTTATATGAATGACCTTTCTAAAGAATTAAACTGGTGTAGAACAGGGTGTGTCGCTGGGGATAACATCGTCAACCACTTGATGTACGCTGATGACCTGGTGATTTTCAGTCCGAGTTCAGCTGGTCTCCAGCAGCTGCTTGATGTGTGTTCGGCGTACGGTGAACAAAACAATACTAGAAACTTGCAATGGCTGAAGCCATTGCGATTGACTGCGGAACAGATCTAATGTGGAAATCTGCTAAAAAAAATCCTTGAAATCCTTTAAAAAGCCTTGAAACTGTTAAAATACTTGATAGATATTTGAAACTCCTGAAGTCCTTGAAATTGTTGAAACCTTTAAACTCCTGAAATCCTTGAAACTGTTGAAACATTGAAACTCCTGAAATCCTTGAAACTTTTTTAAACCTGGAAACTGTTGAAAGTGTGGAAACTCCTGAAATCCTTGAACCTCCTGATATCCTTGAAACTGGTTAAATTCTTAAACAGCTGAAATCCTTGAAACTACTGAATGTATTGAAAGTGTCCTTGAAACTGAAAAATCCCCTCACCGCTGAAACAATTTGGTTCCTGTAACTAAGGAAACCTGGTCTGTGGTCATTATCTGGTGGTGGTCTGAGTCTTCGTTTGGGTCTTGGTCTGGTGGTATAATGCAACCTATTAGGTTGCATTATACATGAAAAAACCCTATTAAGTTGCATTATACTGGTTTACATGAAAAAAACCCTATTAAGTTGCATTATACTGGTTAACATGAAAAAAACCCTATTAAGTTGCATTATACTGGTTTACATGGAAAAATCCCTATTAAGTTGCATAATACTGGTTTACATGGAAAAATCCCCATTAAGTTGCATTATACTGGTTTACATGAAAAAAACCCTATTAAGTTGCATTATACTGGTTTACATGGAAAAACCCCTATTAAGTTGCATTATACTGGTTTACATGTAAAAACCCCTATTAAGTTGCATTATACTGGTTTACATGGAAAAATCCCTATTAAGTTGCATTATACTGGTTTACATGAAAAAACCCTATTAAGTTGCATTATACTGGTTTACATGGAAAAAATCCCTATTAAGTTGCATTATACTGGTTTACATGAAAAAAACCCTATTAAGTTCCATTATACTGGTTTATATGTAAAAAAAAAAAACCCTATTAAGTTGCATTATACTGGTTTACATGGAAAAATCCCTATTAAGTTGCATTGTACTGGTTTACATGGAAAAATCCCTATTAAGTTGCATTATACTGGTTTACATGAAAAAACCCCTATTAAGTTGCATTATACTGGTTTACATGGAAAAATCCCTATTAAGTTGCATTATACTGGTTTACATGGAAAAATCCCTATTAAGTTGCATTATACTGGTTTACATGGAAAAATCCCTATTAAGTTGCATTATACTGGTTTACATGGAAAAATCCCTATTAAGTTGCATTATACTGGTTTACATGGAAAAATCCCTATTAAGTTGCATTATACTGGTTTACATGGAAAAATCCCTATTAAGTTGCATTATACTGGTTTACATGGAAAAATCCCTATTAGGTTGCATTATACTGGTTTACATGTACAAAATCCCTATTAAGTTGCTTTATACTGGTTTACATGTAAAAACCCCTATTAGGTTACATTATAGTGGTTTACATGTAAAAATCCTTATTAAGTTGCATTATACTGGTTTACATGTAAAAACCCCTATTAAGTTCCATTATACTGGTTTACATGTAAAAACCCCTATTAAGTTCCATTATACTGGTTTACATGTAAAAACCCTATTAAGTTGCATTATACTGGTTTACATTATATGTTTACAAAAAACCCTATTAAGTTGCATTATACTGGTTTACTGGTTTACATGGAAAAATCCCAATATTAAGTTATTAAGTTGCATAATACTGGTTTACATGGAAAAATCCCCATTAAGTTGCATTATACTGGTTTACATGGAAAA